GTTCCATCATAGCGGGAAGCAGATGTGCATGCGCGATATATCTGTCGCCAAAGCTCGAAACCGGTGTCGAAGTTCGAAGGTCACATTATCAAGAGTTCATAAAATGAATATCGTTTAAAATTTCTTTAAACCCTAAAGGAAAGGAAAATATTTTCGACGTAAATAAATTAATTCATGGAGTAGTTTTTTGAGGGGGGGGAATGGACGAAAATCCCGTTTTTAAATTATGCGAAAATCCAAGAAAAAACGTTTGTTTGATAAAACGTTTCTTCTTGGATTTTTCGCAATAATTTAAAAACGGATTTTCGTAGTTTTCTTTATTGTCAAAGAACGTTTCTTCTTAACACGCGTTTCTTAATTTCCTGTACACATCACTGAGAGGGAAATTCTGGCCATCGTCAAATCCCTTGGCAAATTTTCCCTCCGCTTTTTACATAGACGTTCTTTGGTCAGAATAATCTCCATGTATGGTACAGTGGGATTTGGCGACATGATGATGAGCATAACGGGTCATTTGTTCTGGCGACAATTTTCAAAATCATGCGAAGGCCGTATCGTATACTAGGATTTTTACCACAAAATCTTTTTTTTTTTTTTTTCTTTCTTTTTAATAAGTACCTTGTCATTTTGCAGTAAATAAAAAAAATAGTAATCAATCATCTAGGATAACCATGTAATATAACTATATTCGCTAAATATCGTGATTATTCTAATTAAATTTTAAGTAATTATCTTTATTTTTATGTGATTCATATCATTTAATGTTGCTTCTTCCCTCTAAATTTATTTATCATTAGTAAATAATATTTCCAAATTCAGGAAATTTCTCTTTTCATTGGATCCTGATTGATTCTAGCAGTGACTCACGAAATTTAATGCACCTATTTTTTCCTTATGTATGCTGCGAAATAAATATAAACCTCAATTTAGTAAAAAAATATCATTAAATAGTTTCTTTCTTTCGTTGGCTGCCGAATGTCTGCAAAAAAGGCCTTATTTATTCCGATTGGCAGATTCTAATCTCATCTCAGTGGAGAAACAACTCCTATTATAATTAATTTGTGTTTTCAAGTGTTATTGCCTTTTGAATACACCTCACCAAAATAATTTACCTAAAATCTAACCTAACTTTTAGCATTGTGTTGTGATTTACAAGAACCGGATTAGCCTCGTGTTGAACTGGGGATGATCATGAGTAATAATTAAATAAAATGTACAGTTGGTTATCTAATGTATATATCTTTGCTACACAGTACAAGTAATAGCATAATTAATTTACTTCTTAGCACAGCCAACATACATTACGCGGATAGACTGGAATTTTCTCGAAACATGCCTGGAAAACCTGGAAAAGTCAGGGAATTTCATTCTCCTGTTTGAGTGGCAACTCTGAAAGGAGATTCCAGACAAATGGGGGGAGGGGAATGCTGTTCTTAAAGTTAAATCATTGGTAACAAGTGAAAATCCACTGATGCAGAAGTCAGTTGCAAAATCTTTAAATCCATCTGAAACAACAATATGTAGTATAATAAACTTAAATTTTCAATTTTAAAAATGCTAAAAAACAATGTTCACCAGCTTTTGCCAAGACAAACAATTTGTATAATTTGTATGAAAACTATTTAGCGGGAGATAAATGAAAATACATTGAGACTCTAGTTGAAGAATGGGTTTACCTAAATAGCTGCAACTAAAAGCGGTGTATTTATTATCAAAAACTAAGAGGAAAAATATCCTTGACAAAAACATCAATGCAAAGAATGTTTCAGTAAGGCATTTATGATTGTCGCAGTATTCTCTTACAATGAGAAATTAAAAATAAGACTGCAGGGAAAAATGTTAAAATTAACATACTATCAAGAGGAAGTTTTACATCTGATATTTGCATAAGAAATTCAGTTTCTTTATCCCAGTGACTTTAGAAGAGTGAAACTTCATCAGGACAAAAACAAGAAATCATATTTTGAAGAGTAACATTTTAAACATTAATTGAATGACATTGAAGTAGTTCAAAAAATTGTGTAGCTCCCTACTGTAGTAACAAATGTAATTAGATCTTGAACTTACTTTAGATCATTTCTTTATTTCCATTTTATTGTGCTACCGAAGGAAGCTGTTTTTTCTTAAAATGTCAGTTTGACTGTACATTAAATATTTAAGTGTAATATTATAAAAATGTAGCTGAATAACAATGAGATTTGACCATCAAGGCTAGATTGATTAATCACTAAGCAATTTAAGCATGTGCTTAGGGCATCAATAAAATGAGGCCCCCTAAAAATTTCCATTGCTGCTCTTGTCATGGAGCATCTGGTGCAACTAAACCAAAACTGAGAGGGACTGAGAAGGAATGAAGAAAAACTGACGTAAACAGTTGTTGCTTAAATGCAAAGTGCACATGCTTATATACCCCTGATGGGTTTTAATAAGCTATATTTATCTAATCCCCTAAGGGCATTCAGAATAGCGACTATCAGCTAACTCCCAGCCGGGAAATCAGAGCAGGTAAGAAAAAGAGGGCTCTTCAGCCATGACAACGTGAGTTCAATAATGAAGACTACCTGGCTCTCATCCCAGAGAGACAAGGGTAAAATTAAGTGAATGGAGCAAGTGGAGATGCAATATGAACTAAGTAAACAGATGTGGGGGCACCCAAATCTTTTAAGTGCTTAGGAGCACTAAAATTCTTAATCTGATTCTGGCAACCATGTTTGGTCAGAAGAAAAACCTGATAATAAATATTCCAGTATACAGTGCTGCCTAGTAGATATACTGTATTCTGTTTATATGTTTCTCTATTCTTTTGCTGTATATATTGTATTTGAGTTTAAGAAATAGTACGTGTATAAACATGGTATGGAAGAAATAGCCACTCTCAAATCAAGCCCAATAAATTTTAAAATTGGAAAATTGATAATAAAAAATTTTAAATCATTTTAATTTTTAAGATCTGATAACTGAATGAGTGGGAAAAATAGGCTGAAATCAAATAAGAAAGTTTGCTTTAAATTTAAGCCACGTCCTAATTTTATTTGTTTAAAAATTTGAATAAAAAGCATTATTGTATGGTAATTGTAATAAAATATTTAGTCGGTAAGCTTTCTAAAAAAAATCATATATTCTTTTATTGATTTCTTTGCTTATTGTAGATTGTAAATTCAATGGAATATGCATTTTTTAAAAATGTTTGCTGACTTTTGTATCACATAGTAAATGTAAATATTTGAGTTCATTTCACTTGTATTACTCTTTTAATATTCTCCCAGTGTGCTGGAGGAATAGCGTAATAAGTTCATAATAGTAATGGTATGTATTAAATCTTAATCTCGTGCGCATTTTAGAAATCACTGTAGATGGTGAACAATTATTGGCATTAATTAAATGCAGTGTGTACAGAATTTATGAAGTTAGAATTGGAAAAATCAGTACAGTCAAAAATCTTTAATCTGAACTCGTCAGGACTTCGGCAGTTCCGGATTATCGATTTTTCCGTTTTTTCCATATTATAGATCATCAGTTTAAATCTGGTAAGATGGCATGCAGAAATTATAAAATTAAAAATATGAAACCGTAATTTATGAAATAAAGAGCAATTATTATCTAAAGGGTATCAAAATTTACAAAAAAAAAAAAAAAAAGCTTAATATTTATTTGTTTACTTTATTAAACATTTCTTTCAACGTGCAAATGTGTAAAGCATACATTACGCATAGTCGAAATGAGAAAATTGCAACCAGAAAACTATTTAATGTATGTGTATTCGTGATATTTATAATGACGAGGAATTTGATTTAAATCATATCAAAGACGGAGTACATCGAGATGAAATACTACATTTAGTAAGGAATTATAAGCCGAATGAAATAAAAACATCTGCCCTGAAGATAAGGATAGTGCTGACAGATCAACTTCCAGTTCAGTGTGCGCCACAACATCCCTCCCCAGAGCAGGCGTGAAATTGATAAACATATTTCGGAATGATTAGAGAATCAAGGGATATGCCTTTATCCATTTTTTTCAGCAATTCCACTTTTTGTTTTTACATCGGAACATGCTTTTGCTTTGTAGATCCTTTGGCAGCTCCAGAATCGGAAATTCTTTTTAACATAATCGAAAGTTCAAGGTTACTTTTATAAAATTGCTCTAACAGTCTGCAAAAAATAATAAGCCGGATCCAATTCGAAGATTAAGGAACAACACAATCTGCAACATTAACTGAAATAGATAATTAGATAATTTTAGCTTAGCTTATACCGTCCGTTATACATTAAACGCTCATGCGTAAACGTATTATGCTCATGCGTGAAGGTATTATGCGTTGACACATGCACAGAAAGTTTGTAGCTTTGAGGTTCAGATTATAGATCATTCCGGATTATGGATGTCGGATTAAAGACTTTTGACTGTATTCTTTTTGGCAGATGTTGTGGTTTTTATAGGTACAGATAGAAGGTAGGCCATCACCTGTGTGGTGCCACAAGTGACTGAGATATTGTTCAACCTAGCAAGCTTCCACCTCACTTTTGAGGAAGAACACCCCTGGAGAATTTTCAAAAGGAAACAGACTTGTATTCAGATTGCATATCAGGAAAACTTCAAAAATGGCAATGCAGGAAGGCTATTTGCCAGGATTTGAACTTGAGTCTTTTTTTTTGGGGGGGGGGGGGTAAAGCTTATAATACTAAAACATAAAGATAGCATTTTGGCAAAATAGGGAATGTTGTTCATATGTGAAAACTTCTATAGATAGCTGATTTTTTAGCTGGCTGATTTAGTGTACAACAGTTTCCAACTCTTATGCCATATATTTATAGATGGATTGCATTATCAATTCTAGCACAATTGTCTGTTAATTTTTTAGTTCATATATTGTACTAAGTGTATGGGTAAGTTTGCATTTAAAGTATTAAACTGGAATTTGAAAAATGACTTCGTTTTTAATTTTCTATTATAAATTTCTGTTATATAGAAAAGGTTAACATAGTCTGATTTATCCTTAGGTCAGTGATGTTAATGATGATGTTAGAAGAGCAGCTGTTGAAGCTTTAGGGTTCATTTTATTTAGGTAAGCAATCACCCTTCCCCCCCAAAAGTCACATTTAGTTGAAAGCAATTTTGTAATTATAAAATTTTAAAATTTCTTGTTGGTATTTTACAACAAATATGTTAAACAAATTGTTAACATGCATAGGAAAAAAAAAAAAAATGCATGCATTTGCAAATTAGTTTTTCATATTTTTCTTTAAGTAGTTTGTATTAAAATTTTCTAATTAAGTCTTACTATTTTCTTTATCTTATGGTAATTTACAAAGAATAAATGAAGAGTTTTCACCCTTTTAAATTAATTTAATTACCTTCTAATATGTTAATTAATGATAAATAATTTTGATTTCTCAATGACATGTTTTACTTTTATAGACTTTTTGTAAGCATTCTTAATAAAAAAAAAATTTAAGCATTCTTAATAAAAAAAAAATTAAGCATTCTTAATAAAATTTAAATTTGCCTTATCCTTTGAATAGAACTCCAGAACAGTGTCCAAGTGTTGTTTCTTTGTTGTCTGAAAGCTACAATCCTCATGTCCGGTATGGAGCAGCTTTGGCTTTGGGTATATCATGTGCTGGAACTGGAAATAAGGTCAGTAAGATATTTTCTTAAAAATTGTAGGGAACATTAGCTACCTATCTGTTGTAACAGCAGTTGAGGGAACAAGTTCTACAGCAAAATAAAATTGGAATTTCTACTATTAAACTAATCAAAATGAAGAGTTCGACTTTCTCTTATTCTTAAAATTTTTCATGATTGTTATGTAGCTTGGCTTAATACTTCATTATTTGTATCCCCCCCAAAAAAACTTTTGACATTGGAAAGCACTTGGCTTTTGTCTAGATTACGTATAAAAGAAAATGAGTCATTCTTTAATGAGGCATGGCATGTCACTGTTTCGTGTGTGAGAGCACATATGTCTGAAAATGTCATGTTCCAATTCTCCAGTGAGCATTAAATACTGTTGTGGGTCATCTAGCATACATTAGCCAATAAGCACAAAACAAAATCGAGGTTGTCATTTTATTAGTCTTACCACTGGGCATTGTGGGTTTCATGTGTTTTCAAGAAAGAGTTTATAAGAAATTGTGGCATTTTATCTTCAAAGTCTTTGAAGTTAAGTCTGGGAAAGTGGTAATATACTCGTGTACTTTTCAAAATCATACACAGATGACTTTCCTTTTATTATTTTGTTAAGGAAATATAAATAATGTAATATATTTGCCATGTGTCTCATTTGTTGTTGTGATTTTTTGATTTCGCGCTGTTGAAAGACCGATATTCTTAAACATGTGCACACACTTAAAACACGAGAACAAAATGAGTTATATTGAAAAAAAACAAAAAATTAAATTTTTCTGTGGGAACAAAGGACCAAAAAGTTATTAATGCAGAATGCCCATTCTCTACCTTTTTACTAGAGCACAATCTGTCACTAAATGCATCAGATTATATTACAGCTTTATTTAGAAAAATCTTTCCCTGTGGTTAAATGCTCAGCTGTAAGGACAAAAATGGTTGCAATTGTTAAAGAAATGGGTATGAAAAATAAATCATCAGTTATTGACTGCTTTAAAACAGCTTCATTCTGCCTCTGTATGGATGGAAGCAGTAATACCAAGGCAAAAAAAACTGTATCCAGTTGTTTCTTTCTTTAAACCAGGCTTCAGAAATTGAGAGTAGTTTACTTTTGATCTTTACTTTAGTAGGAGATTCGACAGACTTTAATGTAGCACAGCTTATTATTAAAACTGTAAAAGAAATGCAATACCTCTGGATAATTGCTTAACACTTGGTGTTGCAGGCATCCTAATGAAAAAAAATTCAGATTTGCAAATTATGAGCTGCACCTGTCATGTCTTAAATTTAGCAGCTAAAAAAAAGCAGCTTCTCTGCCAATAAGTGTGGATGAACAAGTCGTTTATATTTGTTATTATCTTGAAAGACTTTGTAGAAAAAATGAGAGAAAAATTAAAAACAGTTCCAACAGCTGCATAATATTGAAATTAGAAAAATTTTGGCATATGTACGTACACTGGTTATCTTTAGAGAAATGGTTATCCAAAATCCTCAGCCAACAGAATCCACTTCTTACATTTTTTAAGAAAGAAGTAAATGAGTCTTAAAAGGCTCTTTTTTTTTTTAAAGTTAAAATAAAAGGCTCTTTTGAAAGTTATAAAATACCTAATTATATAAACTTGGATAAAGTTATAAAATCAGCAAGGATTGACACATATTAGACTATAATTGGAAAACTGAAAGGTGATGAAATTTTAAATTACGGTGAGCTGTCTAGAATAATGTTGGCCACCTGACAATTCCTTATGGCAATGTAGAGTGTGAGAGGATTTTCAGTGTTATTGATAAAACAAACCCTAAATTGAGATCCAATATTAGAAATGCCACAGCTTATTAGCAAAAGCAGGCCAACCCTAAATAATTTTTTTCTTAATGATAGCCAAATTTACCGCAGTTCTTATAGCCCAGCCAAATTAGACAAAAAAAAGGGGCAATAAGTGAAAAAACATCCTACAGTTTTGGAAATGATCTTGCACATTTCCCTTAGACTTGGGTTCATGTGTGTTGTATGTCCCCGCGGTGAAGGGTTTAAAGGTCCCCTTTTCACTTTTTTGCTTAAACTTAGAACCTGTCACTCCATTAGAAAAATAAACAAAATTGAATTTAACAAAATTTCCTATGACAATGGTCTTTTGCATTTTTGTCCTAGGATGTACGGTTGCAAGCTCTGAGTTTCCAAAGTGTGGAGGCTAAGTCAAATTGTATATTCCACTATTCAAAATCCTTCCAAACTAATTTTGTTTGTATACGATAAGTGTTTACAGAAATCAAATTTGAAGTTTTACAGAGAAGCAGATGAATGGTATGATGTTGTGTCAGTGAAGGGAACAGCTCAGACCTGCCCCCCAACTAGAGGGTGTTTTTTTGTTCTCTTCTTCAAGGCTGGTAACCCGACCTTTCCCACGGAGGAGTCCTGTGCTTGCTGAGTTACACACAAAGTCTACTGTCTTTTTCTTGCATGTTTTGCTCTGATTGGATGAAATTGCTCCATGGTGGTTATATTTGGTTTGATAAGTTTTCGCCCTGTGTTTTACTTGATAGGCTTTGTAAAGTATGACAAGCAAAACTTTTGGGCTCTGGATGAGGAACACACAATAATTTGCTGTATTGTTAAATTTTTATTTTGCATGTGAAATTTACAAGAAAAAGCAATCTATGAAACTTCATTCATACATGTTAATCCTCATTTTGTATTGTTATATAAATCATTAACCCAAAGTATATAATGAGTTAAGAAAAAGTTATGCAAATAAATGGCATTAAATTATGCATTTTAACAGCTGGACAAAAAATGCTACTTAGTCTTCCTAAAATCCACCTCAAGGGTGACCTCAGACTTCCCCTCTCTACCACCAGCTAAAGGCTCTGCACTGCAGCATTCATACAGAGTATATATGCAATTTCAGAAATGGCTGGGTAATAAACTCCACCTGCTGACTGGGTTTGAATGACAGGGTCAGATGGAGATCTTCAACCTCTGCCTACCTTGCATTGCCCCAGCTAATCTTCTATCAACAATATTCTGCAGCTGCACCAAAGGCTGTGGTACAAGTTGTGGATTCTGTAAGGCAGGCATTCAATTGCTCTTCAATATGCAGTTGTGAGAGTCATGCACTAATGGCCCTGCAGTTGAAGATGAGAATTCAACATCTGAGGATGACCCTGAAGTGACCCTTGACACCCTCTAGTGAATTATTCGAATACATTCGAATTACTTACTGACTACAATTAAATTTACTCATAATGTAATTCAAAATAATATTAATGTACAAGACGATTAAAGATTGTAATTTGGTTTTAAATGTGAATAAAGCACAATTTCAACCCTGTCATTCTTAACAGGTTAGTTTTAGGAAAGGAAATTCTGACATCTTCAATTTTGCGTATAAAATAGTTTTCTGTGGGAGTGATAGTTTCTGAGATAGAAGGAAAAAAATGAGAAAAGGGACCATTAAACATTTTCCTCCCTCCTTGAGCTCTCACACACATTAACCCAAGTCTAAAGGAAGTGTTTAAAACCATTTTCAAAACTCTAGGATTTTCCCCACCGATTTGTCGAACTTGACTGGGCTATTAGTATTAGTAGGAAAACTGATGAAAGTATTATTTTTCTGTTAAAATATATTAATAATAAAAATGTTTTTGTACTATTTGCATTTAAGAATTAGTAATTGAACTTTCAGTTATTAATTAGTTATTATTTAAAGTTAATTCATTTTTAAAATGTTTATTTTCTTTATATATATTGCACAGTTTCCTGATTTCTTAAAAAAAAAATTCTCCAGATTTTTTAGTCTTGTAGTTTGGCAAGTATGGAAATGTCTGAATGAAATCCTTTTCTGTGATTGTTTTTCTCAATACTAAATTCACATAAATTAAAAATAAAAAAATTCCATATAATGCTGTGAAATGTTTAACAATATTTACATTTAATTTTGAAGATTTGGTTATAAGTTTTAAATAAAAAAGAATAAATTTTACTTTATTTCAGGAGGCCATCTCATTACTAGAACCTATGACAAATGATCCTGTAAATTATGTACGGCAAGGTGCTTTAATTTCTTCTGCATTAATATTAATTCAACAGACAGAGCAGACTTGTCCAAAGGTAAAATTTTGCGCATTTAAAAAATAATCTTTGCTTTATAATACTGAAGTTTATTTTCTGTACAGATTTTTCTTGCAACATTTTTGAATGCTCAGTGAATTGGGTATATTATTTTAGCGCTAATTCAGTAATAATCAGTAGTGAATTTCTTTTTGATCCAATAAATAAAACTCACTGCATTATTAGTTAATTTTCAGAAAAAATTATTAGTTTGATATGTTGTTTTGCAATCATTTTAGTAAATCTAGCTGTGTGTAATTTGATGTAGACAAGATCAAAATCTTTATTATGTAAAATCTAGAGAAACTATTCACAAAAGGGCAATGCTTTATATTGCGTATTAAAGTAAAATAAGCATTTACTCCTGTGTTCAGAAGGTTTAAGGAAGTTGTCTGTAGGGTAGTTTTATTTTAAATGTAAAGACTTATCATTTTCCTTCTAGGTAACGTTGATCAAGACACATAAATTAGTGCTCTTAAGATTCTTGGAAGCAGGGGGGATGATGTATTTTGTAGCATATGATTGGCTGTTGCATAATTTTGAGAAGCTTGAATTTTCTGAAAATATTGTCTTGCTAGGTCCACATTTGCTAAGAAAGAACTGCTACATATTAGTGGGTGAAAAGTCTGGCAAATACATTGGCTATACCAGGGGTGGCCAAGCTCCTTGGTAATCCAAGCCATATTTCAATATTTGAAATTTTTCGCGAGTCACAATTAAATACATATTTAAAAGGTATGCAAAAAAGGTATTAAAATTTTTTTATAGAAATTATATTTATTGAAAACATGTAAATAAAAGTACAAAATGTGTTTATTGAATTTAAATATTAAAAATTACCATATAAGCATATAAGACGGCATATAAGACGCACTTTTTTCCCTAAATTTGGTCTCAAAAAAGTTACCTGCGTCTTATACATGAAGGACACAGGTTAACTTTAAATACTGAATGCTATTTTTAGCCCGGATAAAGGTCTAGACATGCATGACTTTTTCTACATCTACCATAATTATTTTGCGCATGCGTTTAATATCTGTCGCCAAAAAGCGCCAAAGCTCGAAGCTGATGTCAAAGTTCGAACAGGTTCGACGGTCACATTACGTCTATGGAGCCTTTCCTTCTTTACATAGACTTTCTTTGACTCAGCCGACACACGTGTCGGTATCGGTGCTACTCTGTATAAATGTGTCGGTATCGGTGTTTAAAACTGTTTGTTTTAAAAAAATACCCTGGAAAATATGACTACAGGAAACGAAAGATTAAGCTATGCAATTCAGTATAAACTAGGAGTGTTAAACTACGCCAAAGTACATGGAAACAGAGCAGCAGCAAGGGATTTCGGTCTACCACCTACCGAAAAAAATAGCTTGCCATTTGTTTTCTTACTAAAAATATGTGTGCTAATTGCATTCAATGATTGTTTATTTGGCTTTTACGAAACGTGAGAACTAAAAGAAACCACATTTTAAGTTATTGTGGTACCGTGCGGACTATTGAAACTTTTTTTCCTTGTGTGTGGCTTTCTAAATAAGGGTGCGTCTTATATGCCGTCAAATACGGTAAACACATTTATTTTACTTCTCTTGATAATTCTTTAAAATTTGGTAAATAATTGATGGCAGCACTTCTCAGTAATTCTTTGAGATGCTGGTTAGTTAATAGTGATCGGTGTTTGGATCTCACGAATTTTAAAGTGGAATAAAAAGTACGTTGTTCCGAGTATTGAAATAATTCGACAAGCAGCCTTTTTTAATTCAGGATACTTCGATTCTGGTACAAATTTCCAAAATTCAGTAATCGGCGTCGACTTATATTTTAATTGTAGAGCTTGATCTTCTTGCATCTATATTAATTCTAATTTTCCATATGCTTTTTGAGTCATAATTATGTTAGAAATGAAAAACTCACCTTGAATTATGTTAATTTCAAATGGATTCAGAAAAAAAATCAAGAGACGATTTAAAATATTTCAAATCTTGAAATCTATTTTGGAATTCCATCAATATTCCTTCTAGCTTTTTTATGTATTCGTTGAGTTTTTCTTGTATAATATTGGAACAAATTTTTTTAGTTTGAGGAAAATGACAAAATGTTTTATTTTGAATGTCCTTTTTAAAAAGCTGTAATTTAGTTTGAAAACTAAATATACACTGTGAGAGATCAGATATTATTTTATCTTTTCCTTGTAATTGTAAATTCAGCGTTTGCAAATGTTCCGTGTGACATCAGTCAAAAACATTAAGTCTTGTAACCACTCATCATCGTCTAATTCTAAATAAGTTATTTCCTTTTCTTTTAGAAATGCAGTTATCGAATCAAACAAATCTACAAATTGATTTAATACGTTGTAGCTAGATAACTATCTAACAATGGAAAATAAATTATTGTCATTTGGAAGTTCCTCCTTTAATTCTTTATGGAAATTTTTGAATTGTTGATGATTTTTTTGCATAGGTGCAAATGTAATTTACAATGTGTAACACTGTTTCTATAACATCAGGATATTTTAAATATTTTGTAATTAGATGCTCTTGGTGAATTATGCAGTGAATCGGTATGAATTGTGGAATTTGAGAATCATTTCTTAAAAGCCCAATAAGACTGATTTTTTTTTTAACCCAGCATTGCCGCAGCTCCATCAGTTGCAAGTTTATTAAGAGGCACGTCAAAGGTTTACTTATTATTGAATCTAATGCATGTTTAATATCGGCACCACGGATTAACTCTTGAAATTCTACTAAATCTAATAATTCTTTAACAACGAAGTGAAGGGAAACAAAATTTTATGAAAACTGCCAATTGCGGAAGATCTGTGATATCTGTCGATTCACCAACGGCTAAGCTGGATGGAATACAGTTCTTCAAATCGTTTTTTAAATTATATTCAAGAAATGTATTAATTGCAGTTATGTGTCGTTCGGTTGTGTGTTTCGAGATGGGAATTTGTGAAACAACTTTGTGCAATGCTGCATTATTTGGATCTAAAACTTTAAGTACATCTTCAAAGTTTTTTTTTAATAAACTCTCCATACAAGTGTTTTGCACGAGCAATATTCCAGGCAGTAACAAAACTGGTTTCAGCCACATTATTAGCTTGATTGCTAAAGGTCATCAAAATTGACTGTTGTTTATTTAAATTTCATTTTAAAGAAGCAAGTTTATCTGATCTTAATTTGGAATTTGGTGGATACTGATTAGAAAACTGAGGATGATTGCTTTCATAATGTCGACGTAAATTGCCAGCTTTATAATTTTTGACTGTAGAATTATAAATAACACATAAATCCTTTTCCGTTATTGTCAATAAAAAAGAAATTCTCCTCCGACTCATTATTAAAACTTCTATTTTCTTGCTCTTAATTTCTTTTTTTTTATTTTCGTTCTCTGTCATCATATTTTTAAAAAACTGGAAATAAATGAAGAAATTTAGAAAATACAAGTTTTGTGTTATTAAAAACAATAACACGTGTTACATACTACAAAACAAATTATAGTTAACTTACCAAAAATTCCAGATTACAAATTATATCCATAGCAAGAGTGATACAAACTGTTTTCTCCAGAGTACAATGTCAACTGTCCTTTACAGTGGAAGTTTACAAATTCAAAATTGGTCTGGAGTCGGTCAATTATGTAGATCGTCATTCGTCGAGAAGCAATCAGCCAGACAAGGCCTTGGCTTCCATATGTTTCTTATAATTCACGAGGCAGTCGAAGGGGAAGAAAATCCGATGAATGGGAACTGTTACGCCACTGTTTATGTTCGTTCGCGCGGTTTTCGATGAGTCAGACCATTCTTAACTTGGTCGGAAAAGAAATTTGTTACAACGTTGCACTTAGTCTTTCATATTTGTTGTCCGTAATTTAAAAATATTTTGAAACACATACGGAGTGATAATTTTTGAAAATATAATAACATAAAAATGAAAAGGAACTCGGGTACATTTATCGAGAGCCACAAATAATCCTTCAAAGAGCCACATGTGGCTCGCAAACCATAGGTTGGCCATCCCTGGGCTATACCATTATAGGTATCTGCCTGTGTCATATAATTGGAAGCTTTATGATTGTACTCAGTCCTTTGCGTCTGTGCTATTTTCTTTATTATTCCTTAATGCAGAACACTGATAATGGACTCTGCTGACATAACTTTATGGTGGATAATATCCACGTTACCAAAGAAAATGAGCAGTATATCAGTTAGCATCTCAGAAAATTTGATGTGTATTATTCTGAAAACTGGGCTTTTATCTGTAAAGTTCATACACAAAAAAACCCAAGCATATTTGTACAAATGGCTGTTGCTGCAAATAAGCAGTTGTACTGAGTATTGTTACAAAGGGACAGCTGGAGGTCAAGTTAAGAAATCTGGAAAATAAGATGGCTGTGGCAGGACTAGTAACCATTTCTGCTAAAAAAAACTCCTCAACTGATGTGTAGTTGTGTAACTAGGAACATTGTCATCAAGTTCTTGAACACGAGCCTTGACTTTTTGTGGCTTATGCCTATTTTTTACGCCGAAAAGGGATGTTAGTCGTGAATGGGATATTAGTCTTGAAATGGCATTTGCGTTGAATCACTAAAAATGGCATATCACTGTTCAAATAGTTGCCATCAAATGTTATCACCCTGTTAAATTTAAAGAAATTAAGTAATGAAGTATCTGCATAAATTTATATATGATTTCCTCATAATGAAAAAACAATGGTGCCTAGAGCCATCAAATTTTGAATAACAGTCATCCACCTGAACATAGGCACCTGGAAGCCCGAATTTTGAATTTGTTTTATTATCTATTTCATATTTTTTAAAACTTTTTTTTTTTTCTTCTTAATAAACTCGACGATTTCAAGGAGAACAGTGTCAACACTGTATGGAATAAAACATTTTTATCTCTAGCATGTGAGATTGTGTGTCAGAAATTCCAAAGATATGCAGTCTTTAAATACTGTTGTGATTTTGCTATTGAATCGAATTTTATGTGGCATAAGCACCAAGAACGTGATATTTAATAAATAAACACACAAAATGTTACTAATAAAAAGACAAAAGGAATTACCTTAGTAAGTAAATTGAGCACTGATGTGATGAACTGAGAAAAACTGAAAAATGTATGTCAACTCTTAATGCTACATCGAGAATTCTAAACATATACTGCTATACTGTTTTTGAAGTTTTTGTAGTTTTACTGTTGAATTGTATGTGGTGTAAGTGTGAAGAAAATGATGTTTTATGATAAAGGTAAAAATAAAAAAAAAAAAAAAAAAAGTGGGGGCTTAGTAGGAATGGGTGTTAACAACTGACTTGTAGAGAGCAACAGTGTAAGAAACCTTACTAACTTGTTTGGGTTACCATTATGATCTAAAACCTTTTAGTCCCCCCTTTTTCTATCACAGATGTAAATGTATGCTATTCTAAAGACAGGGCTTTTATCTTCAGGTCAGAAGTATTAAAAAAATAATAATAATAATAACACTCAACTCCTATTACTCAAAATGAGGCATTCTGCCGATTTGCAAAAAATACTTTTAACTTCTTTTGCACTACAACATAAATTACACTATCCTAGATGATAATACTTATGTTTCTGCAAAGGAAAAAGTGCTAATTATGTCTTATCCAAATGCAATTATTGTACCTTTCATGCATTGTACGTGACTTTACTGTTATGAACACTAAATTATAAAAACTAAAATATCAACTTAATGAATTGGTTTTTAAGTAATGTTGCAAGCCATTCAGAATTCATCTGTTAGTTCTTTGTGATTTGCTTTTTTTTAAGAGCATTAAAAAAAATTTAATGATTTAATTCACCAACCCATTGTTGGCTAATGTGTTTTTATAGTAGGAAGAATTTTTCTATCACAGATGTAAATGTATGCTATTCTAAAGACAGGGCTTTTATCTTCAGGTCAGAAGTATTAAAATAATAATAATAATAATAACACTCAACTCCTATTACTCAAAATGAGGCATTCTGCCGATTTGCAAAAAATACTTTTAACTTCTTTTGCACTACAACATAAATTACACTATCCTAGATGATAATACTTATGTTTCTGCAAGGGAAAAAGTGCTAATTATGTCTTATCCAAATGCAATTATTGCACCTTTCATGCATTGTACGTGACTTTACTGTTATGAACACTAAATTATAAAAACTAAAATATCAACTTAATGAATTGGTTTTTAAGTAATGTTGCAAGCCATTCAGAATTCATCTGTTAGTTCTTTGTGATTTGCTTTTTTTTTTTTTTTTTTTTTTTTTTTTTTTTTTTTTTTTGAGAGCGTTAAAAAAAATTAATGATTTAATTCACCAACCCATTGTTGGCTAATGTGTTTTTATAGTAGGAAGAAATGCCTGAGAGTTTTTTATTCTTCAGAAGCCCTGACATTGTGTATATTGTTTATTTTAATTAGTAAAACTCATAATGTAACAAAATTTAGATATTAGGTGATATTATAATTTTAATTTCTTTTAGATGTAGAAATTTTAGTTTGTTATTAATTAAGCAAATGATATATTAATATGTGAGTGTATAATGAAATATCGCCTGGTGGAATATCACCATATGCTGCACTTTGGGGCCCAAGGTCAAGAAAGCGGAGCACTGCAAGTCATCATGTCCCACTAGGGTTGTTGTGTCACCGAGTTTAGTGCTTTTAGTATGATGAATTATATATATGAAGTATGGTACTATTCAAGTTTCTGAATGTCATTGTGGAGTACTTGAAAATTCTTACTTTCATATAAACTTTTATATCATTATCCAAATGTCACTGAAGTGTAACTGGGATACTTTCATTAAACTTTGTTGAGCATGCAGTGAAAATGAGCACTTTGAATTTATCTGGTGAAAAATGTGAGACTGAAATGTTTGGAGTGAAATGGTGTTTTCATATCAGTCGTGCTGCTGCGTACAAAACTAATTTACGTTAACTCGCAGCAACGTAAGTTAACAAATCACTTGGCAAGTAATGAAAGAAATATAGCATTGACCAAACCATATTTTTGTTCAGTCAACCTTTTAGTCATGGTATGAAATAAGAAGCATAGCCATTTAGATTTTGTGTGAGATGTAAGTTTCATGCAGTTTGTATTCAAGTGCAATCTTTCTTTTTGAAGAATGTCTTTTCTTGATGAAGTAGAATAGTTGTTTAATTTTATCTTGGCAAATCCAAATTGTAAAATCTTTTGCAGTTAAATTAATAATGGGAAAAGAGGGGGACAACAGATATGTTAAAATGAAAAATGTATGTTTGCAAGCATTTGTTGTAATGATCCTTATCACCAGGAAAAAAGCCATCCAAAACTGGCAGTGCAAAGGAAATATGCAAAAATAGGCTATGTGCTTTGGCTTTAACAGAAAAGTACCAAATTATCTATTAAATCTTTCAAGCCAGTTATGCTTGTGTATTTATTTTTGCGGCACTTATAGCTAATTTATTTCATAGAATATTTATGATGCTTTCTGTATGACATGATAGGTATAGTTTTTGATGATTAAACATTTTAAATTCCATTACTTATTATCTGTTTATGAAAAAATTATAATTTTAAATTTATAATAGTGTATATGCTTTTTGTTTTGCAGCAAGTCATATGACATAAAATAATTTGTAATATATTTTTGATAAAGTTGATTGCAATAAAGTTTTCATTGCAGGTGAAAGATTTTCGACAATTATACAGTAAAGTAATTAGTGATAAACATGATGATGTTATGGCGAAGTTTGGAGCCATCTTAGCACAAGGCATTATTGATGCAGGTAAGGTGCATTTTGAATACCATTTGTTTAAAACTGGACAATATTTTCAAGAATTTTATAACTGCATTTTTCGTTTGGTTCTTTATGTACTTTCTTTAAATAATTTATATAAAAGAATAACAGTCTTGCATTCACAAGTAATATGTACTTATCTCCAAATTTTAATTATATGAAACATACATCATAATACTGAATATATCATGATATGCTCATAATCTAAATTAAGCATGACAAATTTAATTGACAGGTTACAATAAAACATTAAACAAAGTTGTAATGAGTAAATGTAATTTTTGTTGTCTATACACATACTTAGACTCATATACGAAATTGAAAAAAATTTGCACATTATGTCAAATTTCTGGAAAACTGATGGTCAGATTTGAATGAAATTTAATATAAATATACATTTATAACAGAAAAAGAGGTATATCATTCAAAAGTCATTTTATGGATACATGATTATCAGTAAAGCTCAGAACAGGAATGTCCAAAATCCGCGTTGTGATATCGAACTGAAAATGAGTCTGATGTGGTACAGTCCCCTCTCAAAGCTAGACAGATCGCATAGCATGATGGCATATGGGACTGGAGGCCATTGAAGAATCCTTGATGCAGTTGATCCTACTTCTGTAGCAAGGCAGTTTTCAACTCCTGTATGGTTATTGGAGGGTAATGATGAGATGAAATTGTACTTCTAAGATTGTCCTGAGCATACTCTATTGCAAGGGCTCTCAACCTTTTTTGCCCCATGCACCACTTTTACCACTGCTAGAAGATCATTCTCCATTTCCTTCCACAACTCAATATTTATGTATATATGTAGATTGAGATGATTTTTCAACATGTTTTATAATTAAACAACAAAAAGGGTAGAAAATGGCAATAAATACCAAAACTTGAAATAAAAGTAGCTTTGTATATTCATAAACTAAAATATTTAACAGATAAATAAAAGGCTGACGATGATCACATTGAAAAAAAATTATCACGTTTCGTCTCTATTGTAATCATTCCTTAATTATTGCAGATTTAATGAAAAAGGAGTAATTTTCCTTGAAAAGTCAGCCTTCTTCCATGGGATTAACAATAATTTATTTTCTTTTGATATGTATTTTTCAGTACTTTGACTTTTTTAATATGAATTCAATTACAGTTTAAAACTTCTAAGTATTTTTTTTTTCAATCTAATTTTATCTCAATCTTCTTAATTAATCTTTAATAAAATTCATTTTATGAAAGTTTTACTGTCTGTTTCCTAGGGGATAATCAAAAATGAAAAAATTAATAATTTGTTATCTGAATGAATTTTAATTTGTAATCTTAGCAGCAATAATACTAGAGTTTTACCTTTAAAGTCCATTTATGCTTTTTTGCTTATTCACTTTGTTACTCTCTATATATTAAAAGCAAAATTAAGCAAATAAGAGCTTCATAACTCTGTTGTAAAGCACGAACAGGAGTATGATTTAAATCAAACAAAAACTTGCCAAACAGAACAATTTAGTGCCAGTAATGGATAAGTGTGACTTAAAATTTTGGTTTTATGTAAACCCTATTAGTTCTCGATAAGTCGTTTTAACTTCTGTAAAAAAATAATAAATATATATATATATACGTAAACTGCAGTTTATCTGTTTTTCTATTTAAAATTTTTTTATTGTTTTCTAGAACAATATCTTGCAGTATTAATTTAATCAGTATGGGACACTATAGAGATCCTTATGTTTCTGAATTTACCTCTAGGGCTTCTAAATTGTGGAACTTTCATTTGACAAATATCTAACATTCCTTTAAGCAGAGAGATGTCTGTTGATTTCCTAACAGGTGTTAGGTTCAGCAGCTTATTTTAGTGGGCATTGATGACTAAAGTCATTTTGCAAAACCTTTCTTTTAAGGTTTCTATCACTAATTTTTGTCCGTCAGCATATTTCCTTAAATTGCATTTGTGACTACTCCAGTTAAATATGAGCATACGTAATTAAATTTATTTAATTAGATAAATCTTCATTTTAGTGTATCAAAGATTTAAAATGGTTCCAGAATCTTTGCCAATCAGCAGGATTACCGTTATTAACGAGGGTAATTTAACAATTTTTTTTTTCCAATTTTAACAAACTAATAGGTTGTTGTTTTCCTTTGCGTGTCTGATTTGCATTTACTTATAGCAGCTTTCAATTTGTGTCAGGGTTGCCACGCTACCTGGAAAACCGGGAGTCAGGGAATTCGAAAATTGACCAAAATATTCAGGGAAAAGTCAGGGAATTTAAGTATTTTTGCCAAAATCTGAAAAAGTCAGGGAAGTTCATACAACGATCCCGCCAAAAAAAAAACGATTTTTGCGCCGACGTCGGAAGAGGTAACTTTTTTGGCGAATTATGTATCACGTGAGTGTCATTCGGGTAGCTGGCATAGAGCCAATTTTCGCAGCTCCAATTTGATTGTCTTTTAGAAAGGCAAAGCAACTTTCCCGCAACTTTTGGTTTCCAGTATTTTCGAGAATCGCATGTGCAGTGCATGAACTAAAGAAAGTACCTGTTCTCGTATAAAACAAAATGGGTTTAATCCTAGTATACGGTACTATGGAGAACAAAGAATATGTATTGTAAAGAAGGAAAACCTCTCTGCAACAGACGTGGCTGTGGCTCCGTTCCATCATAGAGGGAGTCTGATATATCTGTCACCAAAGCTCGAAACCGGTGTCGAAGTTCGAAGGTCACGTTATCAAGAGTTCATAAAATGAATATCGTTTAAAATTTCTTTAACCACTTGCGCTAAAAAGACGTGCCACGCACGTCAAGATGCTTTTTTGTCTCAAACCGCGAGCGACGTAAACACCACGTCGATAAGCATTTATCGCAAAAATGAAAATAACGTGGTGCACATGTCGCCTAACAACGAGATTGTTTATTTCTCGAGTTACAGCTCTGGATTGCACTCGCAGATGCGGAGCGGCGTAAATGAGACACTTTACCGCTTGTTATATTGTAGCGCACGGCACCGCAACCGTGAAGTTTAGTCTTAGCGCAAGTGGTTAAACTCTAAAGGAAAAGAAAATATTTTTTGGCGCAAGTAAATTAATTCATGGATTAGTTATTTTCAGAGGAAAAAAAAAAAAAAAAACTACGAAAATCCGTTTTTAAAATTATTGCGAAAAATCCAAGAAGAAACGTCCTTTGATAAAACGTTTCTTCTTGGATTTTTCGCAATACTTTAAAAACGGATTTTCATAGTTTTCTTTTTGTCAAAGAGCGTTTCTTCTTAACACGTGTTTCTCAATTTCCTGTACACATCGCGGAGAGGGAAATTCTGACCGCCAGGTTCCGTCGTTAAATCCCTTGGCAAATTTTCCCTCCGCATTCTAGCGGCGTAATAGCATTTTACTTGTATGGAACCTTTTTCTTTATATAGACGTTCTTTGGTTAGAATAACCTCCATAATGGGATTTGGCGTACACACAAGATTTGGTGTCATTTGATGCGCAGTAAACGGGTCATTTTGGTCTTGGCGACAATTTTCAAAATCGTGCCAAAGCCTTACCGTATACTAGAATTTTACCGCAAAATCTTTTTTAACCTTTTTTTTTTTTTTTTTTTTCTTTTTAATAAATACCTTGCCATTTTGCAGTAAAATAAAAAAATAGTAATCAGTCATCTAGCCTAAGCCATGTAATATAACTATATTCGCTAAAATATAGATGATTATTCTAATTCAATTTTTAAGTAATTATCTTTATTTTAAGTTATTCATATAATTTAATGTTTGCTTCTTCCCTCTAAATTTATTTATTATTAGTAAAAAATATATTTCCAAATTTCAGGAAATTTTCTCTGGCATAATCCTGAAATTAATTATAGCAGTATGATGACATACCATCACGAAATTTAATGCACATATTTTTTCCTTATGTATGCTGCAAAATAAATATAAAATACCTCAATTTATTAAATAGATTTCTTTCTTTCGTTTAGCTGCAGAATGTCTGCAAAAAAGCCTTATTTTATTCCAGATTGGGAAGATTCTAATCTCAATCTTCAGTGGAGAAAACAACAACTATTATAATTATATTTGTGTTTTCAAGTGTTAAGGTTTTAAGAACATACCTCACGCAAATTAAATTTACCTAAAATCTAACCTAACTATTTAGCATTGCGTTGTGATTTATAAGGACCGGATTAGCCTCATGTTGAACTGGTGATGATCATAAGTAATAATTAAATAAAACATACATTTGTTATCCAATATATATATCTTAAATTTTATTAAGTTTCTTAAGTGGAAAACTAAACAAAATTATCAAACAAAGTATACCAAGAATAATTAAGAATAAATGTCCTCTGGGATTTATTGAATAATTAAGTGAATTTGCTACACAATACAAGTAATACCGTAATTAATTTACCTCTTAGCACAGCCAACGTACATTACGCGGATAGACTGGAATTTTCTTGAAACACACCTGGAAAACCTGGAAAAGTCAGGGAATTTCATTCTCCTGTTTGAGTGGCAACCCTGTTGTGTGCAATTAATCAATTTTTTATGATACTCGTTCCTCATAATAATTTTGGTTTTGATTTGTTTAACATTTATAATTTGACTTTGAACTTCAGATTCTATTTCTTTAAACTCTTTGAATTTCAAATTTATCTGTTGTGAAAGTTCTTTTAACTCTTCTTTAAGATTTAGTTTCAATTTTAGAAATTAATCTTGTTATAAGAGTAGTTCATTTGACCTTCATTATTTCCATTTCAAAATCAATTTCTAATGATTCTTTCAAATTAACTTGATATCTTCATTTACCAAAATTTCTCTTCCAATTTTGAAGTACATTTAGGAAGAGTAGTTAGAAGTAATTCACTATGTAAAATTAATTTCTTAATGATAAAGAATAATAAAGCATACCTTGTCACAGATTCTGATTTAATCTTACTTGTTTATTCCAAACACTGCAGCACAGCCATTTGATACATGCAAAGGATGACTTTTATTTTACAGGGAACACTGCTGAATATAGCATGCCACATTCTGAGATTGAAACAGACTGTAGACATTAGTACATAAGTATTCATTATTCATTCTTGGCCAATGCACCCAAAATACCAGACAAAAATTATGCTGCTAAAAAAAGTAAATTATTTATTTTAAGGGGGCCAGAAGGCATTGGTAGTACTTCCGTCATGAAAGCCACATTATAAACTAACATTCTTGGTATAGCAGAAGATAAACACCCTGTAACGGCATTACAAATTAATCATTTTGGAAACTTTTTCAACACTATCTGTCATGTCAACATTATTGCTGCAAAGTGATCCAGTTTAGTTTCTGAAATATGAAGAAGCCATTTGAGGCCAGGTGTGATGAAATGTATTGGATGGGAGAGAAGTGTAGAAATTTGCTTTGTTGATTAGCAATTTGGGGAAATCTGAGTCATATGTTTTGTAATGTTATCATACTAAAGCAATACTTTTCTGCTAGATTTGCCCTGTTGTTTTACCTTTATTACCTGTTGGAGTTGAGTCAAAAGTTTACAAAGTACATACTTGTTGTCATGATATATAAATAATAAGCAGTGTTCTTGCTTCATCCTAAAAAGTGATGCTAGAAATCTTCCTGGCAGATTTCTTTGTTCTGAAGTTGGTTGAAGATATATGTTGCATTTTTTGTTTCTGGGTCACAGTGGTAAAATTTGTGTTTCCTTTCTTGTCACTCTAGTGGTGAAGAAAAATTTCTGTCTATGTTTATCATGGAGAGCAATTTTGAAAAACATTTGATCCAAAATTTCTGCATTTCTGTATACTCGTCTGGTGCAGATCTTGGACATTCCCTGCTTTTTGTACAGAATTTGTTCCCACTCGTCTGCATGGATGCCAATTTTTGTAGTTATCTAAAGAAAACTGAAATTCACTTATTTTGCTCTATGTATCTTGATTTTAACACATGTATTTTCAGTAGTTACATCCACATGGTTGCCTGACTATTATTATTCTCCAGACTATTTATAGCATTCTTTTGGAGAAATAATGACTAGTTAAATTGAAATAAATCAGTAAAGTAAAATTTTAAAAAGGAATGACAGTTGTGGTTGGCTGTTAAGCCAATTTTTCTATTAAATTAACAGCTTCTAGCAAAATTTAAAGCACATATGCTAATTTTCATATATTTTTAATAATTCTTAAAAAAATGCGTTATTTTAAAAATCTGATGGAGGGCAAAACTAATTTTTTCTGAATTTTGCTTTTTTAGGGGGGAGGGAGAAGGTTAAAGGAAATAAAAATTTTGGCGATCAGTAGCCTAATTTGAATTTAAAGCACATACTGTTACCAGAAATTTGGGGTATTATTTGAATTCGTTCCCTTTATTCTGCAGAAAATAGCCTTTTCCCTTTTTTAGTATAGTATGAATTCTTTTGTTGTGCATTGCCAAGTTTGTTGATTTTAAGATCAATTTGTGTACAGAAACTTAGATATAGTGGTTTATGAATTTCATGATTAATTTAACATATAAAAATGCTATTTTGATGATATAAAAATAACATATTAAAGTTTTGATTTTTAGAAAAATATTGTTAAATAATTTATATTTCCATCTGTCATGTTTTAAAAGTCCTTTGCCTTTCATTTTTGCGATTTTTGAATATTTGATTCTGAAATTTAAAAAAGATAATAAATAAAGCAGAATTTTTCAATTACGTTTTAGCCAAAACAAAAGAACTGATGTAATTATGTGCAAATAAATTTAATTTGTTCAAGTTTTTATAAGTATTTTTCCCTGTGTAATTCTTTTAAAATACTCAGACTATTTCTGTAAAATTCGTTGTTTGCTATTTTCTGAATTTTTTCAAAATCTTCTGATTTTTATTTTTACAAAGTTGACAGGTATTTTATTAGAATCTAGGAAAAGTTTGTGACAGAATGGAAAATGTAATAATAGTATTAAGGCAGAATATACGGTTTATATTAATTAATTTTTTGTTTTTTTAATGGTTTAAACCTGTATTATCACTTCTCCTTTACTTAGCCCTCACTAGGGTGTGAATGAGGTATCACTGTTTAAGGGAAGGATTTGAATTTTTAAATATAAAGCTTTCGACAGCAATGTGTACAGTTTACAGCTCCACTCGGCCATCTGTGCTAAAGTTAGTACTCCAACATTAGTGATTTGCTAGCCAGAGTTAAATTGTGCATTTTAAAGTTTGAGATGATGCTTAGTTTAGGCCAGTTACTGTAGTCTCCTACTAATCCACTTTATTTTTTAAATTAATTTTTCTGTTATCAAACAGCCACAAGTGCCAGAGTTTAATTTGTACACTTGTTGTGAATCTGTTACATTACAGTTTAAAAAAAAAAAAAACATATGTTTTTAGAACTTTGTAGCACTTTCACAGATGGAGTGATAACTCCCTTGGCAGTATAGTAGAGTCTAAGGAAATTTTAAGTTAGATCTATTCAAGTTAGCACCCTACAAGAATAGACATATTTTACTAGAAACTTATGATTAGTTTTTCATATTGTTTAGCAAATTATTGTAAAAAAGTAGTGAAAATAAAGTTATCTGAATTATCTGCACCACCTCCTTATTATTAAGGTCCCCTTATATAAATGATAGCAAGAGCCCTCTTGTTAAGGGATTGTGCCAAAGCAGTAACCCTATTTATATCTTTTCTCGTAACTCTTGTTTAGGGGGGCTAGCTGTTTGGCAACAGTTTGCAAAGAGCTCAAAGTAGGGTTGCTGCTTTCTCACAGCTCAGAAACAAGAAGGCTGTTACTGCAATTTTAATAATGGAGCTGAAATAATAAGGAAGTACCTTTTCTACTTTTTTCCCTTAATGTCTTTCTCTCAACACCTTTCTCTTTCCCTTATTTTCTTTTCTGTTATTTTGTGATTTTCATTAGTCAGAAGTGTGGAAAATTGCAACAGTAATTCAAATTTTGTCACACGGACAGACATCTGTAAAAAGAAATTTCTGTGTGCAAAGATATTGCAAATTGATAATTCAAAAGATTTACTTTATAAATCTGAATACACATCGTATCATTTCATGAATTTTTTTTTATATTATTATAATTATTATTATTATTAATGAAATAAGATAAACAACTCTGCTTATTCTAAGCATTTAAAGTTTTTATAACTTTTTTTTTTTTTTTACATAAATCATAAAATACAAAAATGAAGCTAAAATTCATTGAGAACAAAATTAATTGCATAAAGTAAAAGGAAGTTCTTTTAAGCAATATGATCGAAAATAATAAATTAACACATACTGTAGCAGATGATGCAAAAACTAATAGAAACAATGATTTGTTTTTCAAAGTAACTGTTTTAAATGTAGTGAATGGATTAGTTAAAATATTTGAAAAATTTTCATATTATAAAGACGTAAGTACTTTGCAGCGTTATGGAATTTTTGTATCTTTCAATGATTGTTTTAATATCTTTTTTTTAAACCACATAATAAATTTTATGCATAATTATTTGTTGCTATAAACAGCAAAATTCCCTTAGATTGGGATTTAAATAACGTTTCTTTTAACAGATAATTAAGGATTTTTTTAATAGTGACCATATAAAACTTCTTTAAAATATGTTTGATAGTTATAGGTGTTTTAAAAAACTATAATCATAATTTAGTGTTAACTGCTTGAAAATGTGTCGAGAGTTAATTTTATTTTCAAACTCTTGTTATTTTGAATGACCAGACACTTGCAAGTTAATGCATTCGTTAGAAAGGGCAGAAACTCGTTGATCATTTAGCCATCTCGCTACTGAGAATGTTGTCAAAACAGAGAGTTACACTTGCGAAGAAGGGGAAGTTCCATCTCAGTTTTAAAGGAGAAGAGCCCAGGGGTTGGTTTTAGGAATCTCCCACTGCTCTTTTCCTACCTCCAAACCTCTTGAGATGACTTTCAGTTCAGTATTTTAAGTGCCCTCGTCACAAGTACTTTATACTTATATAGATCCATGCCTTCTCCTGAATGCTAAGACTCAAGACTAAACAGCATTCAACTTCCTTACTTCCAAGATAGCATAGTGGCATTTTCAAGCTTCTTTTATTAGTTATGTTAAATATTTGATTATGTTTCATAATAATTCATTCTGTAATAATAATAAGCATTCTACATGTTTTTATTTTATTCTTACAACAATCTTGGTAGACTGCAAGTAGTTGCATTAATAACTTCTTCACTTCTTTGTGCTTACAGGCCTTTATCTTTTTCATTGTTCGTCTTTAAAAGTTCTTAATTTCCATGTAAAGAAATGTGTATGAATCATATTTTCATGATCCCACAAATATTACATTTACTTAGAAGTTACTGAATACTCCTTTTAGGTTTACAGCCATATTTTGTGTCTCATGTTCTAATCATTTAAAATCTGAATGTTTCTTAGGTGGACGAAATGTTACAATCTCTCTTCAGTCTAGGACAGGACACACAAACATGGCAGCAGTTGTGGGAATGCTAGTCTTTGCTCAGTTTTGGTATTGGTTTTCTTTATCACATTTTTTGTCCTTAGCATTTACTCCAACTGCAATAATTGGGCTAAATGCAGACTTAAAGGTGAGACTAGAAATTTTTTTATTTTTTTGATTATTGTAGTATCTGACATTTTTACAATCAGAAAACTTTTGATTTATTGCTGATAACTTTGCTTTAGATGCCTAAAATGGAATTTCGCTCAAATGCCAAACCTTCTACATATGCTTACCCACCACCTTTAGAAGAAAAGAAAGAGAAGGAAAGAGAAAAGGTTACAACAGCAGTTCTTTCAATCACTGCTAAAGCTCGCAAGAAGGAAGTAGAAAAGAAAGAACGTGAAGAAAAAATGGAAGTGGTATGATTGTTGTTAATTTCATTTTCTGTGTAGATGAGATGTTCAGAATTATTCTTTTTATTGTTATCTTTTTTGTTCACATGTGCATTCAATAATTCAGTATTGGATTTTTTTTGGGGGGAGGCTGTGTTGTGTTTTTATTTGACAGAATTTTTTGTGAATGGGATCTACCTGTTTAAAATTCTTCAAAACTGAGATACAAGATTCACTAATAAATAAAATTTGTCAGTAATAAATGGAATTTTTGAATTCACTATACAGAGATCCCTCGTTTTTTGCGGTTAATGGGGACCAGAACCTTCCGCAAAAGCTGAAAAACCGTGAAGTACGATTTGCCTCTAGGAATTTTCGTGTATGCGGGTACAAGAATGTTTTAAATATGTAAAAAGTATTTATACTTTACACATTTAAGACAAAAATTACAACAGTATATGTATTTACTTAAACGTGTCAGTGCTAATTAATAAGGTTAATTACAGAACCTTATACAGTAATAAACATTAATCAACATTGCTTTCTGAGAGAGCCGAAGAGTCTTGTGTTGGCAGAGGAGAGGCTCTCACTTGACTCGTAGAAGCTTTAGGCTCAATCGGAGACTCTTCTACTGGAGGCGCTGATAGTAGAATCGGGACTTTACCTTGGAGAGAAACATGGTGATGGATAGTTGTCTTTGTTTTTTCTTTTCCTTCAAAATTCCTCTGTACAAGGACATAACCTCATCAACACAATTGCTGAACTCAACAGCTCGAACCATATTGTTCAATGTCTTGTGCAAATTGTTGCATTGCTCTTGCCATGTTGCACAATATCTGTCTTTGATCATATCTTAAAGTTTCACTTTTTCGCTGATGGTCGTCATCTTCTTCCTCTTGGGCGCCTCAGAGGAAGCTTTCGCAGGGGCACAGCACTTAGGCTACATTATAAAGGCTTAATCAATAAAACAAAGTTATCGCCACACTAAAATACAGTATGCGAGACAGTCAATATCATGGACAAGAGTGCTAAGTGAGGCTGCGATGATAAGCAGACAATCAACTCACAGGGATAAATGTACTCGTACTCTCATTGGTCGATGTCGCACCAGAAACCAATCACGCACCTTTATGAGAGCCCGTGGTGCGTACTCTGGGTCAACTCATCTCTTTGTTTGGTTGTATTTTTTTATTTTTTGATGAATATTTTGGAAAAACCCGCCAAGTACTGAAGCAGCAAAACATGAAGCTCGAAGTGACGAGAGAACACTGTATCTAAGAAAAAAAAAAAATTACATGTAAAGAATAAAGGTTTTAAAAGAACTAAAATGAGGTTCATTTTGAAATCATTTATTAAAGATTTATTTAAAATTGGAATCATATCTTTAAAATTTATTTAAAGATGTGATGAGTGGTGGCTGCTCTTGAGATGAGAAAAAGGTCTTCTGTTATATAAATTTAAAATTAACTCACCTGTGCTCCTGTTTTATTACAAGATATCAATTATTATAAATGCCTGTGTTGAATTTTCTCTATTAAATTTCATAATTACTTCAAGCAGATGTATAAAGGAATGCATCTAATTCATTTTTCCTTTTTCTACAGATTTTCATTTCTTACCTCTTAACTTATTTAGGTTGAGAACATGAGAGTTAGTGTGGCATAATTTCTAAAGTAGATAATCAAAAGACTTTCTAACCGTTTGACTGCTACGCGGCGCAAAAGTGCTGCGTTCATTTGTCTCGAAAACCGCAACGCAGTTGTTATTTTAGAATGCACTCGTGTTACAAAGTACGCGTAAGGTCAGACTATGTACGTTTACACCCACGTAGCAACAAAGACACACTGAAATTCGCAGCGCGATGGCGCTGCATCGCAGTTTTCGAGACAAATGAACGCAGCACTTTTGCGCCGCGTAGCAGTCAAACGGCTAGAAACTATGCATTTTGCCAAGAATAATGTTAACATGCCTTTTAATTAGTTTAACTGGCCAACAAAAAGCTTATTGTTTTGCTTTATTAATTTTTTTTTTAATACTAGATCTAACACAAATACACTAGAGATGGTCACATTGCTGATACCATTAATATTAACAAAATGATAATCATCAGCTTACAGCAATATATAAAATAAATACACTGTGTATCATACTATGCACAATTCAATATTAGAACTGAATTATGAAATTAATGTAATTAATATAAAGATAAAACCACCTAGTATACATGCTGGTGGCTGTATTAAGGATCTAAAAATGTTAGGAAGCATCTGAATAAAGTATTTATATTAAAAAAATATTTAATAGAGGCTCAAAAATTTTAATTATTACTATCACTTTGCTTAGCAAAATTTTTATTTTTATGCAAATACGTAGTATATGCAGTTAAGATTTTCTAAAATAAGAAATCCGAAATGAATCACCTGCATTCTTCAATACCAGCATTTTATAATTTACTGAAAATCATGCATGCTCTTAGAAACCATTCAAATTGCAAAAACTTTTAAATACTGAAAAGTAATTTTCCCCCTTTAAAAACTTAAATATGCTGTTTAATGTGTAAAATATAATTTTATTACGATGTATTATTTTCATTGTCTGAGAGTAATTAAAGGCAAATGTTTAATAAGGGGATTAAAGGATTTCACTAATAAGATTGTGATTAAAAGGAAATATCTTGCTTTTCCCTGTATATACAAGTTCTATAAGGCCCACATTTTACCACCATGTTGGTGATTTCATGCAACCAATTTTAAAATTTCGAGACGTTTCTACGTGAACATTAATATGTATAATTGCTCTTTTAAGGTTTCGTTGCTATGTTTAGCAAAAGAATGGGCAACATATAGTACGAAAGTAAAAGAAAAGACTATTTTATTAAAAATTTTATTAGACATTAATTTCTTGCATTAACGTATAAAAGGTGTCCCAAATAAGAATGAAACAAATGTATCATATAAGCGTAAAACTGTAAAGAATGGTATTGGTAAAACTATTAAGGGGGGGAAAGAAAAAAGAAAAATAGCTTGTTTTTGTAATTGTTAGGCCAGAGGAAGCCAAACTTAAAATGTTACAAAAATAGTTCAGTATCCAAAACAATAATTTTTCAAATTTTGAAACAGTCTGAGAAAGTATGGAGATGTTGCTGTCAACTAAAATTTAGTAAAATATTTCAAAAAAAAATATAATAAAATAAATAAATAAATAAAAAACTAGTCATGAAAATGGTTATATAAAAATTCGTTGAAGAACAGCACATTTCTATCTGTGATGTTACTTATTTGGGCTTGAAATTTTATATTGAAGAGATGGCTCCAAAATATAAAATGGTCTAGAAAATTTATCAGATCTATATTACTCTATGTACAGTACAACTCCAATTATCCAAACTCTGACTATCTGAATTGTTATTACATGCTACAATATTCCTTCCATTTACAAATTTTGTTTTTATTAGCATTTTATGAATAAAATTCCTCTGTTTCAATATAGGATGAAGAAAAGAAAGAAAGTGAAAAAGAATCCACATCAAAGGATTCTAAAGATACATCATCTAAAGAATCTGGAAAAGATTCTGTGAAAGATAAAAAAGAAGATACAGATAAAGAAACAGAGGAGAAGAAAGATGAGAAAAAGGAACCAGAAGCTAATTATGAAATGTTAACTAATCCAGCTAGAGTAATGAGGCAACAGGTAAATACTGAAAGCTAAATGGAGATGTTATACCTTATTGTCAGTTGTTAGACTATAATGAATATAATATCATTAGACTATGCATTTTTTGTTTCTTATTCTATATGAATTTATTTATACTATTTCTTTTCTTCCTTATAGTTAATAATTAGGTAGCATTTTTCAGTTTTATTCTGTATACTGTGAATTTATATTATATTGTATATTTATAGTATATTTCCTTCATTAATTTACAAATTGGAGTCCCTTTATTTCTTTTCATGTAAAGCGTTGTATCCAGCTTAAGTAAAATGAATAAATAAATAAATCGGAGAATTAAAAATACTGTTAATTAGTGTTTATTGAATTCTATTAAATTTGTTAGGCTATCTGCCTTGTTTATTTCCTCCATCAGATAATTTTTAATAGCTTTAAATCATGTTATAAGACCGATAAATTATTCCAAGAAATAATTCAAATTATTTTATCAATTTAAATTATATAATGTGCATACCTATTTATTTAGTTTGATTGAAAATTTATTAGACTAGTATGTGGTAATCATTGTCTTTTCTTCTCATCAAGCAAATTTTTAAACAATGAAGGTGTGAATGTCAATGTTTTCCAGTCTTGATAAATTCACCATAAAAGACCTAGAGGTCTACATCTATAAGGAAAAAAAAAAAAAAAAAAAGGTTCTATTTAAACATTCTATCTAAAAATTCATAATCATTAATAATCAGTCCTTAAAAGCAATTTTAAAAATTAAATACGATTTTCTGATAGGAACTTTAATGGTTGATATTTTACTTAATTTTACTTAGTCATCATTTACAGCATTTTGTTTTAAAGTTGCAGTTTATGACTAAATGATCATCTTTTTGGAGGGAGATGAATTCTGTATCCTAATAGTTTGCTTTCTGCTTTTTATTAAAAAAATTAATTTCCAGGTTTACTTTTGGAAATAGAAATTAGTGTTTATATTTAAAAAAAAAAATAAATAAATAAAAAGATGTTTAGTGTAGATTTGTAAAACTGTGGAATAATTAGGCAAAAATACTGAAAGTTCTGACACTAACTGAGTCAAAGTGTGACTAACTTCCAATGCTTACCAACATCAGGTGTTCACTTCTGTTCTAGTCAGCAACTCTCTATTTCTAAGCAAGCAGTTGTGGTGGCAATAGCCAAGCTTCTGTCATGAGTCATGCTAATTATTATACTTCACAGTTTAACTTATGCCACTTGACATAAAATTTGCATATAATTCTGACTGAGCAAGCATATGACAAAATGAGGCATAAAAGATAAATAAATTTAAAGCTGTTATTGCACTTAAGTAAAAAGCCACATATTAAAGTCTTAAAAATATGTTTTAAAATATTCTGCTTGAAAATATCAATAATAAATATAAATATAAATATTTTAAGAATTTTATAATTTAATGTTAATTACTTGAAAAAATTTGTGGAGTTAATTTTATTTTTCACCTTGTTTTGTAATTCAGTTAAATATTAGATTCTGATTAATAATAGTGTATCCTACATACAGGATCCTTTTTTTTTTTTTTTTTTATAACTCTTACAAATTACGAAAGTGAAGTTTGTGTGTAGATAATTGCTTTAGTTTATTGAGTTCCTATTTGTTTGATGGCTCCTTAATTTTTTTCATTGATGTTCCTTTAAAGTACTTAATTTCCTCATGCAGAAGTGTGTACGAACCCTGTTTCTTACTTTCTTTAATAAAAAAAATGCCATTTTTATAAATTAAATTTATGAAAATAAAGACTAAAATAAGTAAATATACTTATTTAGCTAATAAAGGTTGTGTAAATGCAGATCTTCATGATGGATCTGAAAACCTGTGCTGGTCAGAGGTTTAATGAAGGATCTCGTAGATTGTAAATACTGTGTAGTGCAGTTATGTTAAGAGCAGGTCCCAAATTTTAATTATTTTTTTTCCAAAAGGGTCAGAAAAAAAAAACATATAAGCAACAAACAATTGACTTCTTTTAAAAAAATAATAATTGTTTAGTTTCTGTAAGTGACATACTGGCTAGTCAGAGATACTAGCCAGAATCTCACTTAGAGTCAGAGATAAGTGAGATACTGGCTATATATATAATGTTGTATGAACTTAAATCCATTTAGTGCGAATACAAGTTATTATTACTATATATACAGTCAAAAGTCTTTAATCCGGACGTCCATAATCCGAAATGATCTATAAACAGGACCTCAAAGCTACAAACTTTCTGTGCATGCGTAAACGCATAATACCTTTATGCATGCACATATGTGTTTATGCATGCGCATATGTGTTTACGCATGCGTATTTAATGTATAACGGACGGTATAAGCTGAGCTAAAATTTTCTATTTCAATTAATGTTGCAGATTGCGTTGTTCCGTAATCTTCTAATTAGATGCGGCTTATTATTTTTTGCAGACTGTTTGAGCAATTTTATAAAAGTAAGCCTGAACTTTCGATTATGTCAAAAAGAATTTTTGATTCTGGAGCTGCTGAAGGATCTACAAAGCGAAAGCATATTTCGATGTCCATCAAACAAAAAATGGAATTGGCGCAAAAAAAAATGGATAAAGGCATGAAGAAAGTGACAGAGAGGTGATTTGTTTCTCTAACCATTCCGAAATCTGTTTATCAATTTCGCGCTGCTCTGCAAGGGGGGGGGCGTCGCGGCATGCAATGAACTGGAAGTTGATCTGTCAGCACTATCCTTATCTTCAGGGCAGATGTTTTTATTTTATTCGGTTTATAATTCTTTACTAAATGTAGTATTTCATTCTCAATGTACTCCGTCTTTGATACGATTTAATTCAAATTCCTCGTCTTTATAAATATAACAAATACACATCAAATAGTTTTCTGGTTGCAATTTCTAATTTCGACAATGCGTAATGTCTGCTTTAACGCATGCGCGCGTTGAAAGAAATGTTTAATAAAGTAAACAAATAAATATTAAGTTTTTTTTTTTGTAAATTTTGATACCCTTTAGATCATAATTGCTCTTTATTTCATATTTTTAATTTTATAATTTCTGCATGCCATCTTACCAGATTTAAACTGGTGATCTATAATCCGGAAAAACCGATAATCTGGAATTGCCGAAGTCCCGGTGAGTCCGTATTAAAGACTTTTGACTGTATATATATATATCTATATTGTTCGAGCAGTAAAGAGGCTGAACACTGGTAGTTCGGTCCAAGGTTCAAATCCTGCGAACGGGCTGGCTGCATGGGCATTTTCGTGGTTTTCCCCATGTGTAACGTGTATACGAGCCAGTTTCCCTTGGAAAGTCCTCCACGAAAGGCATCCCTCCCTTTAGGCAGATAGCCCTCGTGTGCTTTGCCAAAACTGAATAATCCAATCCTATATTGTTATGAATTTTATACACATGTAAATAATTGTAGTGAAATTGTAGGCTTCCCCCCGCTCGCTTTCGTATGTGTGTGTAATGTAACTTAAAAATCTAAAGAAGCAAAGCTTTACCAGAAAAGTAAGAATACAGGGGCAAGTGTATTTAACACTGATTACGTGTTGCTAAATTAGTGAGATTTCACCAAGCCGGCAAAGTTTTTAGTGACTAATTTTTGTCACCAAATTTGGTGTAAAGTCTTGCAACGATATGATCCACATCCCTTACACATGCAACAATATGATCAAATTTTGGGTCTAATAATGAAGGAGGTTCTGTCGTGTAAGTTGATATAGGTTATTTTTGGTATAACATTTGTATATGGTCAGATGGGTGCAAGAAGTGCTTCAGTTGTTCAGTAATTATGTTTCATGTGTTTAAAATGTTGCATTTATCAAAAATGTGAAGCAGCAATCTACACGTTGGCTAGACAAAAGAAAGTGAGAGAAAAGTTAAGATCGTCTAATTAGATTAAAAACTAGAAGTTAGATTAAAAGTTTGAAGTTAGGTTAAAAATAATAAAGTTTATTTTCAAATAGTAGACCATGCTATAATATTAATATTATTGCTTTCTAAAAGTTGCAGTGTGACTGTAATTGAAGATTTTATTTTTACTTTTGCCATTATGTAAGTGCAAGCTCCATTTATGTTAAATAAGAATCATATGATAGGAATTAATTTATAATTATCCACTTCAATAAGATTTATTATAAGTATTCTATATTTTTAGAATAGAAATAACAAAATTAAAAAAAGACTTAATACGCTGATAATTAAAACTTTGTGCGTATATATTATTGTGTGTGTCTGTATATATATATATACAGTCAAAAGTCGTAATCCGGACTCGTTGAGACTTCGGCGATTCCGGATTATCGATTTTTCTGGATTATAGATCATCCCTTTAAATCTGGTAAGATGGCTGCGAAATTAAAATTTAAAATATAAACTGTAATTATGAAATAAAGAAACAATTATGATCTAAAGGGATCAAAATTTACAAAAAAAAAAAAAAAAACTTAATATTTATTGTTTACTTATTAAACATTATTCAATGAAGTTGTTAAGTTGCTTCGTTTTCTGTGATAATAATTCTCTTTAATTCTATAAACAGCCAAATTTCTTGTTCAGTTATAAGTTCCGCTTTTAAGTCCTAATGCTGTGCCGAGAATACCGACTTACTTGTCAACGAAATGTTTCGTTTTCAATAACTCGGGTCACTTTCTTCACTATCGGAAAAGCATTATAATGACGAGGAACTTGATTTAATCTATCAAAGACGGAGTACATCAAGATGAAATACTACACTTAGAAGAAATTATAAGCCAAATAAAAATCTGCCCTGAAGATAAGGAAGTGCTGACAGATCAACTTCCAATCCGCGGCGTGGAATTGATAAACAGATTTTGGATTTCAAAACATACTTTCGCTTTGTAGATACAAATTCATATTAGTAAAATATATCGGAAATTCTATTTGACATAATCAAAAGTTAAGCGTACTTTTATGAAATGCTTAACAGTCTGCAAAAAATAATAAGCCGGTCCAATTCGAAGATTCAGAAACAACCAATCTGCAACATTACTGAATTAGATAATTTAGTCAGCTTATACTTCGTAATTAACTCGCATGCGCACAACATATTCGCCACGCCGTAAAGGTCTTACGCGCTCTTGTAAACGCCTGTGCGCATCAGAAAGTTTGTAGCTTTGAGGTCCGAATTAACGACTTTTGACTGTATATGAATGCACGTGTGCATGTACATAAAGACAAAAAATATTTCCTTTTTTAGTAGTTTTAGTTAAAAAAGTATCCTAAATGGTACTTAATTTGATTGCATTAATATATATATATTGTAATAATTTTACATTATCTGAAAAAGGCCCCCCTTTTTTTAAATAGCTGAAAGTACTTCAAATACCTGAAGGATCTAGGTATCAACCATTGAAAGAGGTATGTATAGTTCTTTATTTGCACTGATCAAAACAATTTCCTCAGTAGTATGTAAATGCGGAATATTTCCCCCCCTTCTGTACTTCTTCACGTAATGATTTGGTTAATTTTCATGAAGTATGTGTTCTCTGGTGTATAAGGAAACTGTAATGTTTATAAAAAGGTAATGATGAAATGCATAGTTTGGTACTTCCTTGTTAAAGTGACTATCTTGCTCAGTTCCCAGCATTCACATACTTCTATACTTGTAATACAAGTAATAACAATAGCAGTAAGCTTTTAATAATAGCACTCCAATATCATGCAATACAGTAGAATAATGTTGAATATGTGTTCAGTTTCCAATTTTTGCAATTCACTGATTTATTTTATTATTTATTTATTTATTTATTTATTTTTTTAAGTGAAAACACAATCCTCGTGTGCGTGAGGAGAACAACAGTAATGTGTCATACAATATAGTATGCAATAATGCTTTAAATAAATATGCTTCTTTTATACTCATCATTTAAAATATTTTTATAACTGGAAGTATATGTAGTTGGGGAAAGTAAAGGTTGGTAAGGATTTGAACAGATGTTGTTCTAATGTTGTTCTTTTAAATACTTTATATGTTTTTAATAAAATATATATCATTTATTTTGTATCAAATTAGTAATTTTTATAAAGATTTTTATTTTTAATATAATTAGAAAAATTTCTAATGTCATATATTATATATATTTCTGATGTCATAAGGTGGGTTGCTGAGGAATGAGTTTGCTGTATTTGTATTTTTATGAGTTTATTTTGTGTTTTAAAGCTTTTAACAATGCACATATGCAGTTACACACAGTCAATTCATCATATTAAGACACATATAAAGGTAATTTATTTCAGAAATGATTTTATTTTTACTTTTAAAGAAAACATATTTTTTATGTATGTGGTAGTCACTGCTTAATTGTGATCACATTTGTCCACGGCTATTTTGATAACATTAAACAATGAGAAAAAATATCCTTCAAAATAGCAATGGAATTTAACTAATTAAATACAATTAGAAACATATAAATAGGCATTTTACAGCATTTTAATTAGGTAAATGTTTGTTAATGAACTGTTCATAATGTTTCTGGAAATTATTTGACAAATGCTGTACATGTAATCTTCATCCTGAGAGCATCCCTCGCTGGAAGAGAGCTTGGTAATGCAAAATTTAAAATTAGACCTGAAAGCAACCTTAATTTGTAGTAAACATTTTCAAGGAAACAATTCTGCAGCCTCCCCCCCCCCATTTGAAAAAGAGGAATTTGGATCTGATCCCCTCAGAATCAGTAGCATAACTGAAAATGTATGTCAAACTGTGGTTTCCCCCAATGTTAAATTGAATAAAATTGAAACCAAGATTATGGCAGTTGTCAATAAACGATTTACCTAATCTGCCATATGTTCCAGCAATCATCAGTAGACGTATTGCAGTTTTAAAGTGGTTGTTGAGCAACATTTTGCCATCAGTGAGCAATTATAAAACAACAATTATTTATTATTCCTATTTATAAATACAAAATTGACTCAAAAATAAGCTAATTGTAACATAATAAATAACTAATCATATAACACTGTAAATGCCCTGAAAAAATAATAAAATTTTGTTTTGCTTTCCAATTTTGTATAATAAATAATGCAATGTAAGCATTCTATCTGTTTGTATTTGTACATCACCGCAATAGAAAAAATGAAATTCTGCCCGGGTGTCCAATGGTTTATGTCCGTCGACACCTCACGTAAGTGTAGCTGGGCTCTGTCAACCTCCAATGATAGGTTTTGGAGATTTTAAGGACAGTTCGATAGTTCTACCGTCTCCAACGCAACCTTGGCTGGTGTTCTACCAAAACACATAGACTTATCCAAAAGGGCATTATTACTTGCTGCAATGTGAAAGTCTTTTCTTCTCTGAAAAGAAAGAATTTCTCTGCTCCCATCCTTCCACCCTATTTTGAGAATAATTTGGTCTGAATGGCGCATGTGTTTTGCGTTCATGGTCGCGGATGAGGTGGTCGAACTATAATAAGGATGAGATTTGTGTGCATTTTTATGCTTTTGAAATAAGTTTGATTGGTTTATGTCCATCGACACCTCATGTAAGGGTGACTGGGCTATGTAAACCCCCAATAATACGTTTTTGAGGTTTTATATCAGTTCTATTAAGGTCGCTGCATCAAGATCTTGTGTGCATTTTTGTTCTGGAATAATGTGATTTTATATAACTCGTGGATCGACGTCTACAAACAAACAGCAAGATTTGAAGTTGAAGATAGTATCGACAACGATAGCAGTGGTACTAGTACTAGTGGATGTTTATTATCCAGCAATTTTGAAAGTGGCAAGAAAAATATAGGAAATAGTGACATAAACAAAAATGTAATCAAATCTAATAGTAAATTCAGCAATAGTTTTGGCTATGAACATGTAAGTTTTCATTGGAGATACTTTGACAAATTTCAGCTGAAAGCGTGTAAGTTTGACAATGTAGGTGCAGGAGCAAGTTATATGTTTGATGTGGCTGACGATGCTGAAGAATAAGATTTCATATTTTTTTATTTGGGCCTAGTACAAATAATTACAAATGAAACCAATAAATATTATGAATTTTGTACAAGAAACCAGAATGATGCAACAAGACTCAAAACAAAACACAAACACAGCAATTGGCAGGACTTGTTGTTGCCTCAGTGAAGAAGCTTACCATATCCAAGTACTGGTTGAAAAATTTCATGATTTGAATAAATTTTTTACTTGTGACAGATACACACAAATTTTTCGATTTTTTTTTTTTTTTTTTTTTTTTTTAAAAACATTTTGTGGATAATGGCAACCAACCACAAAATGATAGGCTATGGAAAATTCAAGATGTGTAAAAATCCAAATGCCAAATTTTTTTACATATTTTTCACCATTTCAAAAAAATGTGTATTGATGAGTCTTTCATGTTGTTCAAGGGCAAGTTATCATTCAGTCAATATATGCCTTCAAAACATCATCGATTTGGACTAAAACTGTTTTTGTCATGTGATTTTGAAACCAGAATTATTTTAAACATTTTGGTTTACACTGGTTCTATCAAATATATACCACAAGATAAACACTTGGTGTCTCGGTGAAATATTTCTGGTACAAAAGCTCATGGAAAATTATCCAGTAAAAACCACCTCCTATATACTGATAATTGGTACACCAGCCTTATTTGGCAGCCTGTTTAGTTAAAAATGGTGTTGGTATATGCGACATGGTCAAGAAAAACCGAAAGCATTTCCCAAAATTTGCAACACTCGGATACAGTCAAATAAAGCTGAAGAAAGTGCTCAAAATTTTGCCTCTAAAATGGAATAAAAGAAATGTGCATTTTATTTCCACATTTCACAAATTCAACATTGATGGATAGTGGAAAAGTGAATCATAGAAACCAGGAAATGATTATGAAACCAGACTGTGTGTTGGACTACACCACAAATATGAGACTTATAGACAAGGCTTACATGCAGTTATCTTTTGTTGAAAGTGTTCATAAAAATGGGAAGTAGTATAAAAAGGTTTTTTTTTTTTTTTTTTCCCCCATCTGTTATACTTTTTTGTTTTGAATTCATGTAATATATTTTTGGTGAAAACAGGAAACATTATATAACAAATTTTGTCAAAACATGGAACCCTTATTCCAGTTCAATCTGGTAGATGAAGTGGAGATTGCTTGGGCAATTAGTCACCAGTAATTTCGTCGAAATACATTTTTTGGACAATGTTCCACCCACTGCTGGTAGAAGGGCCAAAGTATATGCCACGTTTGTAATCATATCACCAGAGCCAAAAGAAAATGCAAATGGGGTTGACAACTTGGTGTCGAGTGTCAAGTGGGTTTGTGTGTCAGATATTGTTTTAGAATATACCACTGTCAAAAAGCTTTTGATATTAGCCTTTTTTGTCGTTTATAGTTTATTTAGTCTAAGTTTATATGCTAGCAGTATAGGTTTGTAAGTATTATATGTTTAGGCAAATATCTGTAAATTGTTGTTGTATTGTTTTGGGATATAATGTTAACCTTTTCTTTGTGATGCTTGTAACCTCTCTGAAGCTAAATGTAATATGAATAAAGAAATTTTTCAAAATCTAAATTTTTGCATTTGGCGGTATAGTCGCATATAATTATATCCGTAGAGAAATGGTTAGGCAACTTAATCCCATATTATGTAATTTTATTTCAGTTTTAAAAAATTATTCTATGATATTTTGATCTTATTAATTGAATTATTTAACCTAAAAACCAATGTATTTTTCAATTTTTTGTATTCAAATGTATAAGACTTCGGCAATTTGATAAAAATATCCAAATGATAACATTAATCATGATCACATTGTGTCTAATGTATCTGATAAAAACACAGTTCTTTTATGCTAAAAGAACATAACCATTATCTGCTGTTATAAGTGTTCTTGAAAAATTTATAATTATCTCATTTCTATTTTTGCTGACTACATTTTTACTCAATATTACAGGTGACAATTGGTGGAATAATAATGATGAAAGATAATAAAAGTGAAGATCCAGAGGAATTAGTTGAGCCAGTTGCTGGTAAATGTCAAATTGCATACTTTTAGCACCTTATTAGTTAATATATATACGGCACCAATTCATCTTGTTAAATAAAAATTTGAAGTGTTATGAATAATGTAAATAAAATATCTGAATCTGCATTAAAAATATCTGCTTATAATAAACTTGAAAGATAAATTTTATCTGTTGTAGAAAGCTTAAGGGGAAAAATACAGTTAAACTTGAAAAATTGCTTCAAAAAGAAAGAAAACCATACATGTTTTAACTCTTTCATTGCTAAATATTGTTTGTGTTAAGTGTATACCTTATAATCTTTTAGATGCTATGTTGAAAATAAATAAAAATTAATAAAAATCACCCCCCCCCCAAATTTAGTTATTTCGTAAATGTACAAAATTAACCTCAGAAGTAGTTCATAAGCAACTCGTGCATAGAACTGGAGCAAAATTCCTTCATTTTGTGCAACTTTATACTTTCAACAGAAAGTACACCAAACATATGAATGTACCTGTGGCTATCCAGTACACAAGTCAGTAAAACTGTATACATAACCCAAGTGCTCTGCTGTGCCAGTTATTAGACAATATAAATGATCATAGCAAGTTAATTTTCTGTAATTCATTTGATACTTAAGATTTATCTTTGTAGTTCATAACTGCTTTTGATGTGATCAGAGTCTAAAATGTAATATTGAAAAGAAATGGCCCATTTTCAAATTTTGCTTACATATGCTGTCCTAGAAGAAAAGAAAGAAAATTCAAGATAAATTATGTTTAAAGTTTAATTTGAGCAATGCATTGTGTAAAGATTACTATAAATATATTTCTAGAATTCAAAATATAAAAAAATCAATTGAAATTTTTTAGATATAAATCTTAATATATGTGATTGTAGGCAAATGCCTGTCCCTTTCAAGGTTCATGTTATTCAACCTCTTTGTTTTGTAACCTAATTAATTTTTTAAATAAAGAAGTTTAATTATTTTAAATATGAACTATTAGTGTGTTATATATTCATGATAAAAATTAATTACAGAAGCTTTTTTTTTTTTTTTTAACAAATCAATAGAAAAGTAATTTCTCTTCTTCTTCATGTTAAAGCCGTTACCTTCAGATTATTTTACCCAAGTTAGTTTGTAAATCTGTCTGAAAAGAACAGTACATATTCAGTGACATAGATAAACTAGTCGAGCTAAGTTTGACTATTTTGAATGTGTACTGCTCCCCTTTAGGCAAATTTACAAACTAATTGGAGGTAGAATAATCTCAAGGTAATGGACTTGACGTGAAGTGGAAGACAAATTATTTTTATTGATTTGCTAAATTTTTATCTAAAAATTTTCAATTGATTTTCTTATATTTTAAATTATAGAAATATATTTATAGTCATTTTATGCAATGCATTGCTCAGATTAAAATTTAAATATTAATTTATCTTGAATTTTCTTTCCTTTCTTCTGGCACAGCATATGTAAGCAAAATCTGAAAATGGGCCAAATATTTTTTTCATGGTTGATTGATATATTCTTTATGTTGTATCATGTGTGAAATTTTATTGTTAATACTGAGTATCTGAAATGGAAACATAGCCCTTTTTTTAATAACAGTATGCTTTAATTATCTGTATATGTATGTAAAAAAAAAATAAATTAAACTTATCAAAGTATTTAAATAAAGTGAATTTGAGGGGAAAAATACAGTGAAAAATTGCCTTTGGTAAAAAAAATATGAAAGAAATCAGGGTGATTCTGAGATTGTAATGATGCAGTTTGTTTTTAAAATGAGTCTTCTTTTATTGTTTTCATTGAATTCCTTTATGTTTATCTGAGTAACTATGTGTCTGTATAGTTTAATTTATAATATTGCAGATTATTTACTATGGCATTTAAATAGTAAAGATTAAAAGAAAGAAAATCAGTACTTCAGAAAAAGTGAAAGCTGGAAATGTTCCTAACATTTCTTAAATAGATAAATACAGTGAAGAATTATTGATATGTAAAGGACAACTAAAGCTTTAGATCTATATCAACAGCAAAAATGTTAAAACGATAAAATTGCTGACATTATATAAATTAATTCTCTTTCATTTGTATCATTCTGCATGTTTAAGCAGTATTTCAGTAAATTTACCTTCGTAATAAACAAAAAGTCTCTAGATCATTGAAAATGCCTGAATACCAAGCTTTGAAGATTGACTCACAAAAATGTTAAGTTAGGTGTAATACATCATTTAAATCGATCTGCAAAGAATTAAATCTATTGGGGCATAGGACATAGCAAAGCATAAAAAAAAAAAAAAAAAAATATTGACTGAAAATTTTTAATTCCAAAGCATTTGCTATCTGCATAGAAGTCTTTCATCCAGTTGGTAAGTGCTCTAGAATTATAAATTTATACTATGTGAAAAGTCTTTTAGGTTGTCTGCAAAAATATTCAGAATTTTATATTTAAAAAGCAAAAAAAGCCCAAAAAATTTTAAACTGCATTATGAGCAAGATTTTAAAGATTTGAAGATGGCTGGCTATTTAATTTTTTTGTGTCCTGTCCCTACTAACATACAGTGGGTGGACAAAAATATGGAAACACCTTGTGAAATACATGTTTGAAAAGAAAGATTGATTTTAATGAAATATGTAGGTGGCGCTGGCATTTTTGACTACTGACGCCACCTATACAACTTCATAAGTGTGCTAAACAGTTCAGTTGTTGTCGGAGTACTGTTATGTGAGGTTGTCATTGCATTATGTCAGAGTTAACAGACTTCGAACGTGGGCAAATTGTTGGAGCACGTATGGTAGGTGCTTCCGTAAGCAAGGTAGCCGAGGTGTTTAGTGTTTCAAGAGGTACTGTATCGAAGATTTATTCCGCATATTTGAAAAGCGGAAAAAAACATCATCTGCTAAATCACAGCGCGGACGAAAGTGTGTCCTGAGTGATCGTGACAGACGATCATTAAGGGCAATTGTGACGAAAAATAAGAAGACCACAGCTGCAAAAGTTACTGCTGAAATGAATGTTGTTGTTACCGAACCCTGTGAGTACCAAAACAATTAGAAGGGAGCTTCATAAACAGGGAATTGCTGGCCGTGCTGCAATTGAGAAGCCACTCATCAGTGATGCTAATGCCCGTAACGGGAAAAGGTGGTGTTTAAGTCATAAAGCCTGGACTATAGAGCAGTGGAAGCGAGTAATATGGTCTGACGAGTCTTCTTTCACATTGTTTCCCACTTCTGGCCGAGTTTACGTCTGGAGAACGCCATCTCAAGCCTATAATACAGACTGCTTGTTGCCAAGAGTGAAACATGGCGGGGGTTCTGTTATGGTTTGGGCAGCCATATCGTGGTTCTCTGCTAGCCCCATGATAACTGTGTCAGGGCACATGACTGCCAAGACTTATGTGAACATTTTTGGCCGATCAAGTTCATCCCATGGTACAAACTTTGTTCCCCGATGGTGATGGTGTCTTCCAAGACGACAAAGCCCCTGTTCACACACAGCTCACATTGTCCAGGACTGGTTTTCTGAGCACGAGGATGAGTTGTCCCATCTCCCCTGGCCACCACAGTCACCAGACCTGAATATTATCGAACCTTTGTGGTCTACATTGGAACGGAAAGTGCGTTCTCGTTATCCACCGCCAACATCGTTATCTGAACTTGCCACCGTTTTGCAGGAAGAATGGTATAATATTCCCTTGGCAAACATACAGGAACTGTATTTATCCATTCCGAGAAGACTGCAAGCTGTTTTGGATGCCAACGGGTTTCCTACACCATATTAAGCAAAGAAACATGTTTTTTTAAAGGTGTTTCCATATTTTTGTCCAACCCCTGTATGTCATGTGTCAGTCATGAAAAAAATAGTAAACACATTTCATATCTGGCATGAAATGCTGGTTCTAATCCTTTATATCATTACCTTTTGAATCTGAACCTGAGAATTCAAAAATTGTAAAATTCGTTGTGGTTATTTTAGACACGGCTTACGGGGCATTAAGAGCTTATAAAAGTATCATTTTTTGTTGTGTGCTGAAATGTTTAAAAAAGGCAGGATACTAAGGAAGATCAGTGGTGATAGTAAAGAGAATCAAGTTAATGAAGAGGTGTTAGCTGACACTTGTAATAAAAAATTAGTGTTGAAATCTGCGTATCTTAATGAAAAAATATGGTAGTTAAAATTAGAACTATGGAAATAATCTCCCCCATAATGTATTGTATCAGTGTTTGAGCCTCTACTTTAAGCTCTTATTCATTCATTCAAGATTATGCATAAGAAATGTTCTTGCTCCATGCCAGATGAAGGCTGAGGTCTTGACTCTGTAGGTGTGCAGAAGAATTTATTTAGAAATTAGAGATTCCACAAACAAAGAAGGAAGCTGATGAAATAACTAACACATTACATAATAAAAAGATACATTGAAGTTTCTTAAACCTTGCAAACTCTGTTTAACTTGTTATAACAAACTTAACTCTCTGTGGACAAGAACAGAGTTATACTTAATGTCTGCCATATGTTTGTACCAGCCATCTGCAACTAATTAAAAACATATCTTAAAAGATTATAGAAAGTACTAGTAAAGATGTATAAAAAAGAAGAAGTATGATTTTTTTTTTTTTTATTAAAGCTAGAATATAAGCTATTTTTTATTTTTCATTTTGTATATTTTGTTTATTGATTGATTATTTAATTTACTCACTAGTGTTATTTAATTATATGTAATCATTTTTTAATATTGCATACTTGTTGAAGCACTTTGAAAGTTTCTGATGCATATGGCAGATTAGTTGTCAGACTTAGTCCTATGGTAGATACTTTTGGACAATGAACAAAAGGCATTGGTCCCATGAGTGTCCATTAATGGGAATAAACACAAATTTATCAAAAGTATAAAAATATTTCATTGAAGAAAACAATAATGCTGAATTGTCTTGTATTAGGTGTGGTTTCCACTGTGAAGATAATGAATTGCGACATGTAATTGTACCTTAGGCTGTTTTAAATTTTTGATATCATTCCATAAACTGTATTTTCAGAACATGGCTTATTGAATGATTGATAAAATCATATTGTATCAAAAGAGGTAGTCATGATTTTAAATAGTCATATGTTGTCAGTAGTTTATATATATATATATATATTTCTATCATACTTTAATACATTTTAATAAAATGCTTCTCAAATTAAAATCTGTGCCTCAGTTGGCAGTATTTCATGAGATTTTTTATTATTTCTCTGAAAAAGTGATCTATATCCTTTCCAAGAAATGATCTAAATCATACTATGATTTTATGAAATTATTTAATTAGTTTATTTAATTTGAGCAGTAATATGGATGACATCTGTAAATATAACTTGAAATGCATGTTACGTCATATATTTAAGTTTGTATTTCATGCATATATTATTATGTTGTAGCTGGTGGACCCAAAGTTGAAGATGAAGAAGAACCTGAACCACCAGAAGATTTTGAATACCTTGATGATTGATATGCTAATACTTTATAGAAGTTGTGCTTTGAAGTTCATCTGCAGCAGAAGAACATTTGTTTTTTATATTTAAAGAATCTATCATCTGTATTAATAAGCATAACAAACATCATAATAAACTATTGCATTTTTTATGCTAAAAACTGCATAGTAAAATTTATTTCTTTAAAGGTTTGTTCTCATACATCTCTCTGATTGTAATGAGATGAGTTTCCCTATCTACAGAACTGTGGGGGAAAAAAATATTTGACCGTAAATTAATGTATTTTTAAATGTATGTACCATATATATTTTATAATGTTTTATGGGTTTCACATTTGAAATCAGTAATAACTTTAAATATTTGGGTGATGTAAAAAATATAGCATACATGGATGCTTAAATAATGTATATTTTAGAAAAACTGCAGTCTGTTAAATAAAATGTTTGCAATTTTCTTAAACTTCTATCAATCAATAAAATTATTAAAAAAAAAAAAAAAAAACTAAAGTGATACCGACTATAATGACTACTTCCCTATTGTAAGGAGAACTGAAAATATACTGAGAATGACCATTATTTTTTAAAACAATACAGTCTCTATAAGATTCATCTAAACATGCCTGGAAACACAATACAAAGTCAGAGATCTGAAAATCATCGAGACTGTCGATTCTGGATTATGCATCATCAGTTTAAGTCTAGTACGATGACATGTAAAAATTATGAAATAATGAAGCATTTATAACTTTAAGAGAATCAAAATTAAGCAAAAATGCTCAGTATTTATCTGTTTTATTAGATGTTTCTTTTGATGGAATTTGTTTATTTATTTATTTTTTTGTGGTACTTACTGTTTAATTTTATAGATGGGTGTAATTCCTTATTCAGTTAAAAAGTTCTGTTGTTTATGTGCTGTAATTGCCCTGCTGAAAATTTTCACTACACTTTCAATCAAAAACTTCTTAAAAATTTCTTTGTCTCATCTTTATCAGTAGTGACATTTTCTGAAATAAAACCATAGTGCAGATTTTGCCATCTGCTAGTTGATTAGTAATTGAGGCATTATCGTTACAATGGAAAATTTCTGTTATATCATTTTCATTTAGTATCAGTTTGCTAATTCCATTGAAAAGTTTCACCTTCTTTAGTATTTGCAATCTATGTCAAAGTAAAGTTAGTTTTTTTGTCTAGCTTTGAATTTACACTTTTTTAAGCCAAAATTACACCGCAGCCACTATAGAAGGTAAGTACTAGGTATACTTTCACCTTTTTCAGTGCTACATTTCCAGAATTAAAAAGTCTTTTCGACATAATGAAAAATTCAAACTGTGATATTGATAAGAGAGCTGTAATAGCAATAGCTTGCAAAAAATAATAAGCTAGATCTAGTTAGTTAAGCAATTTGTTATGTTAACTGAGCTTAACCCTGTGACTGCTCAATTTGTGGACTGAAATTGCTTCAAATTTTTTCCCATATTTTAAATCTATATATATTGGAGAATTGAAAAATCCACTTTTTCTTTCCAGAAAATATTTTTTATATAGATTTTTATCATGAAAAACTTAAGTTGCCAGAAAAACCAATTTCAGAGGTTATCACAAAAAAAATATTTTTTTAAATAAATTTCAGTCGGATTACAGTTAATTTCTATTTATTGCATAATATGAAAAAGTAAAATTTAAGAAAATATAAAGCACCGAGGAAAAATACCTTAGAAATGCAGTTTAGTATGATAGAGTTCAAAACAGGGTTCAAGGCAAAGTCCAGCTTCACAGTTTTTGCACCAGATGCAATAAATCTAATTATTAATTCAATAATGTAATTAAATAATCAAGATAATCGCTGAACGTTTTCTATCAGCTATTTCTGTAAGAAAAAAGTGAAGTTTGAGCGCTAATACGACATGCCTTCATATGCCACAATTTAGTGGACAACTAAGGATATCTGTTGGCCAAAACGTAAACTAAACACCTAATACTGTATATAATTTATTTCAATGGTTAAACGGGGGAAAAACGGGATGCGCTGCTCAATGCGGGATAAACAAATTTTGCTACATTTGAGTTGCCGTGGAAATCGCGGGATGATCAGCCAGATGGTTAATTTCTTTCGAGTCTGTCCCTTCCTTTCTTCTCACTGTTATTCCATTAAAGTCTTGTTGCCTCACTAATTGTTAGGTTTGTTATAAAAATATTAACCCACCTCCAGAACCACGGAAGGGCCAAATGCAGGGTGTGGTCGCATCTAACATCAGACAGTGCATTGTCATTGGCCACAGCAATTCCCTAGTCAGCAAGTGTTTGAAAGGAACATAGAAATCTCAATTAGCAGGGACAAAAGTAACTGTTATGGCACCTGCTATTTCCCAGAGTATTATATTCTCCATTCCAAGATTTAAGAAAAAAAATGCTTGTGGTTTGAAGGTCTCTCAGAGACCTTCAAACCACAAGCATTTTTTCAGACTCTGAATATTGGACTTGCGAATTTTGGACTTTTTTGAATTTTGGTACTTTATTAATTTCTCAAACTAGAGGGCAATAAATATATGTATACATTCACTGTTTTGCAGTTTTCCTTTTATAGCTAATGTGTTAGCAAATAGCCTGGTCATTGACATATGCTGAATAACTTTTTCCTGGAATGTTGGCTGATACTTCAGTGATTAAAAGCTTTTTCAGCTTATTTTTTCCTGTAACTTGAAGATCATTTATGGGATTGAAACTGACTGAATTTATGATTCAGTTCAGAATTTGGACTCTTATTTTGGCAAAATCTTACTGGAAGAGGAATTCTTATTGAGAGCAAGTTGAGCTGCTAAAGGTAAAAGCTGCTATCATTGGCCCATCATATGAAAGCAGTTCAATATATAAGAAAAAGATACTGAAAATCAACTAATTCATTCGCGGCCCACCTCTGTAACTCAAACTTCTCCACTTGATAAATTTCGTATATATTTGCAGATAGTTTTTATTGTATTATATGACAATGTCTCCACCTCTGTCCATGATCCTTAGCTCTCCTGACCGAATGATGCCGGTCCCGTCTTTTTGCCACTTCCTATTTACTGTATTTACGTGACGATTGACTTATCATGATGTAGCCATTGTGGCTAGTTTGATAGAGCCGGGTATGCAGTTCACAAGACTGCATTGCCGGCAATAACCTGCCAGTCAGTCAGTCAATCAACTAATTCTGTATAATGTATGTAGCACAGTAGTAGAATTTCTATAATCCATGATTGCCTGTTATCCGTGTTTAATTTTGAATGTAAGCAAAGTAAGTTTTGATTATCGGAAACTTTAGTATACAAATTTAGCAGCAGTTTTTTCTTATATACATAAAAAAATAACTCTTCAATAATGAAGCAAAATTGCTTCTTTTTATTAAAGTTATCTTACTTTTACTTTTTTTTTTAATAATATGGATTGTAAATCTCAGCAGATTTTTGTTTTACATAAATTCCTACTTCTGGGAACATTTTCTGCTATCTTTTAACCTCTTCTTGGTTGGATTTCTTTTCAAATGTCTGATTTATTAAAAAAAAAAAAAAAAAAATTGCTGAAAATTTACATATGCTCTATCCTGAATTCAGAAATGCAAAATATTTTTGTCAGTAAGGTGTTTTTTTGCTTGATGTACTGCGGTCATGCAAGTAACATCCCATCCACTGATCTCTAGTTTATACATTCTGATACTATATATATTGAATTCATTGCTATCAGGTACTTGATAAGTAATTGAACAAAAAGAAATATCAAAAATACGTAAAAAATGTTTTGGGAAATAGTTTTACTATGTTGCCTTGAGAACAGCTTTACAATCTTTCTTGACTATCAGTGCATAAAAAACACACTGAAATCATTTATTGCTTACTTTGTCAAAAAAGAAATCTCTTCTATGTAACTAACTTCCTTCGCACCCACACTCTGAATGCATTATAAAAGCTATTTTGGCATTCAAAAATAACCAAAGAAAGTAAAATTACAGAAAATGCGAAATGGTTTGAGTTTTTCATTCAAGGGGGAAATCTCAGTGTAAAAATGTGAAGAAAGTAGTACTGATAGTGCCAGTTTTCTTAGCAGTATTCAGAAATAAAAAAACTCGTCGTGGAATACGAGACGTGGTGCAATTTCACTCTTCGGTGCACAGTATGCGATGCTGACAGTACGGGTGTAAGAGAGCCGAATGTATCACTTGCAATGCTGACCAAGAAGGGATTAATATTAAGTTTTAATTTATATGGTTAAATTCATTTTAAAATTATGTCACACAGGTTAAGAATTTATTTGTTGGCATTCCGTTGAAACCATGAACTTTGTTGCTGGTTTGTTTATGTAGGAACTAATAAGCTGATAAATTTGTTTTGAATGATGTTTTATGTGTTCCATAGTTGAATAGGAACTTATGATGTGCTGTAGCTAATAATGGGGTTAAATTCTTTTGATAATAATAGAAATAAAAAAATTAAAAAAAAAAAAAGAAGAAAGTAAGTTTAGATCGATATTCCTTTATAAGAAATGTAAGAATGCACATAAATGATTCTGAAGTAGAATCTAAATGAAATGTAAAAATACAAAATTAAGATGTAACAGTGGAGGGAAATTTAAATGTTTGTGTAAAAACAAGGAATTATTTTTGGATTATACTGTTCCTTTATCACCATATTTAAATGGAAAAGCAGAAAGAATGGAATGGACATTACTAAAACAAGCTTTGCTCTGAAAGATTCCAAACAGGAAATAAAGATGTGGGAAGAAGCTCTTAGAAGTGCAGTGAATATGTCAAACTGTAGCAGAACAGAAGTTGTTAGTGCAGAAAAACAGAATAAATAAATGCCTAATTTATCAAAACTGAAAAATTTTTGAAGTATTATCTATGCTTAGATAAATAAACCAATAAAAAGCTCAATTCATAAGATGAAAATTGCAACCGCTTTATGAACCCCCATGATTTACAACACTAAAAATAAATTATAAGGTCCGCCCCCTTTTTAATTTCTCCTCTAACGATGAATTTCGTCGGGGCTGGATAAATTATTAAGTATTATAAACAAGTGCTTGTACATTACTAAGGTAAGAAACACATAATAGAATTTACTTTTGTTTTCTGTGTCTCTGCTTTTATGCCAACAAAGGGTGAAAACTGGGGCCTTTTTCCTGGCAT